CTCTCCAGGAGAACATATTTTCAGCAATACATCGGATAAGGGGGGTTAATATCCAAAATATATACACTCAACAAAAGGAAGACAAACAATCCAATTAAAAAATGTGCAGAGGACCTGAACAGACACTTCTCCAAATAGGACATACAAATGGCCTAGAAACATGAAAAAATGCTCAACATCTCTAATGATCAGAGAGATGCAAATATAAATGACTATAAGGTATCACCTCACACCTGTCAGAATGGCCACCATCAACAAATCATCAAACAACAAGTGCTGGTGAGGGTGTGGAGAAAAGGGGACTCTAGTGCACTGCTGGTGGGAATGCAGACTGGTGCAGCCACTATGGAAAACACCATGGTGTTACCTCAAAAAATTAAAAACTGAACTGCCATTTGACCCAGTGATCCCACTTCTAGGAATATACCCTAAGAAGTCTGAAACACCAATCAGAAAAAATATATGCACCCCCATATTCAGAGCAGCACTATTTACAATAGCTAAGATCTGGAAACAGCCCAAGTGCCCATCAGTAGACAAATGGATAAAAAAGCTGTGGTACATGTACACAATGGAGTACTATGCAGCTGTAAGAAAGAAAAATCTCTTACCCTTTGAGAGACATGGAGGGACCTGGAAAGCATTATGCTGAGTGAAATAAGCCAAACAGACAGAGACAAATGCCACATGATCTCACTTATTATCATGAACAAAAAAGCTATCAAACAAAACAGATCCAGAGTCACGGAAGTAGGGAACAGACTGACAAACCTCAGAGGGATGGGGGTGGGAGGGGAGGGAAGAGATAAACCAAAGAACTTATATGCATCTATGCACAACCCATGGACACAGACGTTAGGTTGTGAGAAGCAGGAAGGGGGTGGGAGCAGGTAGGAGGGGGGGTCAATGGGGAAAAAAGGGGCGACATCTGTAACACCTTCAACAATAAAAAAAAAGACAGAAAATTAATACAAAATTTAAAAATGCAAAGTTTAAAATATCCAAATCAATGATCTGGACATAAAGGTGTGATGGTGAAGCAGAGGCGTCAGTGACAGGTTTCCCAGGACACTGTGCAGCAAAGTGGGCTGGAGCAGAGAGAACAGTATCTGAGGACACACGGGCAGACCCACACGACACACACGGTCACCAGAGGCACCAGAGGGACACAGGTCGTGAAAGCAGCAAGAAAGGAAAAGCAGACTCCTCTGCACAGAACACACGCCCCAAGGGCAGAGAAGAGAACCATCAACCCCAGTTGCTGAAATCCATTTGAAATCCGTTTCAGGCGAATAAAACCTGAGATGTCCTGTCACCTACGGCCCAGTAGGAAATTCTAGGGAGGGGGCCTAGGCAGAGGTGTGAGGGCAGACACGGCAGCGCGAGGTGTTCACCAGCACTGACCCCACGGCCAGAGCACAAGACCACACGAGATCTGCTCCCGAGGCGGCATGAGCAGTGGGCCCGGAGGCCCTTGCACGCGTGCGAGTCCTGGACAAGCAGAGCCGACAGGACGTGTCCAGATCAGGAGGTGGGGGAGGACCAGTGTGAGGGGGAAGGCTCACTCTAAGGAACTGGCTCACACCACTGTGGGGACTGGACTGTCTGAAATCCGCAGGGCAGACCAGCAGGCTGTGGACCCAGGGACGAGCTAAAGGCTGTCGGGAGTCAGAAGTAGATGAGGCCTACCCACGTTATGGAGGATAATCTGCTTTGCTCAATGTCCTGATTTAAATGTTCATTCCACCTAAAAAATACCTTCATGTCCTGGCCAGTTTGGCTCAGCGGTGGAGCGTCAGCCCGGGGACCAGACAGTCGCGGATTCGATTTGGTCAAGGGCACGTACCTCGTAACTCGGTTGCGGTTCAGTACCCAGCTCTGGTCAGGGTTGTGCGGGAGGCAACCAATCGATGTCTCTCTCACATCAATGCCCCCCCCTCCTCCCTCCCACTCTATCTGAAGATAAAAAAGGAAAAAGTATCCTGGGGTGAGGATTAAAATAAAACACCTTCACCACGACATCTAGACTGCTGTTGGACCAAACATCTGGGCCCACAGCCCAGCCCAGCTGACGCACAAACACCCCCCGCATTGCTGGAGGCTAACGACCCGACCCAGCTGACTTCACCCCCTGCTAAGAACTGGCTGCGTGTCCAGGGCGACCACCCCAGGAGCAGATCCGCACCTGCAGTTCTCTCCCGGCTAAGTGCAAAAGCCTTACATGAGGAAAAGCTTCAACCAAAAGAAGGTTGACAGAAAATGAAACAGAAGAAATGAGACAGAGTCCAGAGCAAGGTGAAATATATCAAGCAAGTGCGTGGTCACAGCACATGTAACTGTGTGGACGAAGGGCACCCACCCAGCCCAGTGGCCACCGCGGCACACGGAGCTGGAACTCGCTCACCTACAGCAGGACACCTGCAGGTGTCCCCGTCGTCCCCCTCTGCCAGGACGGAGAGAGAACGCCACCAGAGCGCCGGACCCTGATCGGCCTGAGACACGCCTGAGGGTTCACATGCCAGCGGGCGGCCCATTTCCCCAGGTACCTGCTGGCCCTCGTCCCTCTGACGCCTCCAAGGGGCACTGTTCCCTGTTAGACGCTGCAGCCCAAGCCCCCCCGAGCCCTCACGGCTGAGCCCCACCGTGCGTGTGATGCAGGGGTCAGTGAACCTGCTTCTCGTGCACGGTGTTCCATGGGCTCTGTCTGCAGGGCTCAGACGAGAGTCCAGGAGAGCGGGGGCGACACTGAGCCTTCCCTGCCCACACACACAATCAAACACCAGTGTGCACACAGAGACTGGCACACGGTGAAAGGAGCCGGCTCCACGCTGGCTTCAGGACACGCATCCGTCAGACAGAAAGGCTGGAGGCCACAGGAACGCCAGTGCCAGGCGCCCGCAGCGGAGAGCAGGAGCTCCCGTCTACACCACACAAAGGAGGCTGCAGAGCAAGGACGAGCTCTGGAGGCAGAACGACTCCCTGACCGGAGTGAAAGGACAGCCCAGTCTCGTCCCTGAGCCCAGCAGCTGCAGACACAGACCAGTACTGTCCCTGCTGAGGCGCCGGAAGCTGGTGGGACGATCAGGGTCAGACTCCACGGGAGCACTTCTTGGACCTGCACAAACACGGCTCCGCGGCTTCGGGGAGCAGTTCTCTCCGCAGCCATTGCAGCTGCAGCACCGGACCACACGCTGGCCCACTGGGCCACTGCTGGTTCCAGAGTGATGGGCCCGGCGGGACCCAGCCCAGTTCTCTGGCTCCGGTGCCACCAACAGCAAGCCCACGATCTCTGAAATAGTTAGAAAACTCCTGTCTGCAAATTAGAAACACCTTTCTCGTTTGGCCAGTGTGGCTCAGTGGTTGAGCATCAACCACACATCAAGAGGTCGCTGGTTTGATTCCTAGTCAGGGCACATGCCCAGGCTGTGGGCCTGATCCCCAGTGGGGGGCGTGCAGGAGGTGGCTCAAAGTTCTCTCTCAACGGTCTTTCTCTCTCTCTCTCCCTAAAGAAAACAATAAACATATTTTAAAACAGAAGAAAAGCTAAAAACCAATGAGCCGAATACTTCATTCATAAAGTTATAGAAGCAACAGAATAAACCTAAAAATGGAGACTCCAGACACTAAGACACAATGCAGAGAAGAATGAAACTGGAGGGAACGAACTAGACCCCACACTGAGGCTCAGGAGACTGCAGGGCTGACCAGCGTCAGGGCTGAAGGGCTGCCTCCCAAGGGGACGCCACACAGGGACACAAGACAAGGTCATGACACCGTTGTGCCGATATACTCAGAATTCTGGAAGAAATGGACAGATTCTTAGAAAAAAAATAGCCAGGACTGTCTCGGAAGAACAGGCTGGAACACCCTGCAGACATTCAGGAGACTGGTCCCCTCAAACACACACAGAATTTTCAGAGACGGGGGAAGGGAAGGAGGGAGGGAGGAGAGAGAAACATCGACACGAGAGAGACATGTCGATGGGTTGCCTCCCGCACACACCCTGACCGGGGATCGAACCTGCAACCCAAGTACATGCCCTTGACCGGAACGGAACCTGCGACCCTTCAGTGTGACGCTCTAGCTCTAACCACTGAGCAGACCGGCCGGGCCCCGCCACTTATCTTCACTGGCAAGTTCTGCAAACCCTCGAGGAAAAAACTCCACGGCACACAGACTCCCCAAGATGAAAAGGTGAAAAGGGCATCTACCCAACATGAGCATGGACAGAACCCAGGGTCCTGACAGGGCAACATCACCCACAGACACCTGAAAAAACCCCACGTAGAATTAAATAAATGGGAGCAAACGAGATACGAGGACCGTGGCCAAGCAGGGCTCACATCAGGGATCCGGCCCCATCGGCCTCAGGAGGCCTGGTGTCGTCTGGCCCAACGGTGACAGGAGACGCACTCGGTCACCGCGAAGCACCCACAAGCTCAATGTTCACCCCCGACTTCGAGAGGGACAGCGCTCAGCCCATGGGGACCATGGGGGTGTCCTCACGGAGGCACAGGTGGGAGTCAGGCTCTGCCCTCATCCGAGAGGAAGACCACCTGCCAGCCCTCACGTCACTCCAGCGCCCCTGTGCCTGGCCCCCGGCGCTAGGGCTGGGAGTCCCCAGGAAGGCTGAGGAACGGAATCACCCATTTTTAACAAAGTTTTCAGTCCTCCCTGGTGCTGACCACTGTGCTGAAGAAGCCCCCCGACTCTGTGCTGCCCCCCAACTAGGGTCGCCGCTGCTCTCACGGGGGCCTCCTGCCGTGGGATGGTGACTGGGGTGTGGTCGGGGATCTGGGTCTCACTGACCGGGTTCAGGGTCCATGCCCTGCCGCACCCCAAGGAGCCCCCACACCCACTGGCTCTCTCCCCACAAACACCAGCAGACTCGGGACAACGGTCGGGAATCTCTTCACCCCCGTGTTCTCCATCACTGCTCAGACGCGGCCGTGGCCCCCAGGTAACCATGGTAACCACGGTCTGCCAGCCACTCTGCTCACCCAGATGGCCGTAGCCCACCACATGCCTGGCCCGCGGGCCGAGGCGGGCACGCAGGTCAGTCACCAGGTCGTAGAGCCTGTCCACGGGCAGGGAGAGGTCGTACTTGTACACATAGCCGTCCCGGCTCAGCGCCTCTGTGATCCTCTCCCGCAGGGCCCACAGCGTCTGGGTGGGTGGAGGAAGACAGGCGTTAGAACGAGCTGCGCTGGGGTGACACGGCCGTGCCCAGGTGGGCACAGGGCTTCCACCAGGACAGCGCCCAGGGCCGGCGACGGAGGCAAGGAGGCCCCCTTCTGGAAGGGGACAGGCCATGACGAGGACGCTCCAGGCGCATTCTGCTCGTCTGGGTGATGAGGTGGGCTAGCCAGGGTGCCTAACGGTGAGGGGCCGGGAAGGCCCCCGAGAGCGGGCCCCGGCTGCCCGAGGACACATGGGGCACGGGTGGGACGGGCATGGGTGGGACGGGTGCTGGTGACTGGGGCAGAAACAGTGGGGTGCAGGGCCTGGGCACGGGGCCTGGTCTCGGCAGGGCTGCCCCTGTACACAGGCTGTGGTGTACTCGTCTGGGTGACTTCGTCACTGTGAGGTTTGAAGCCCTCGTGAGGCAGCAGACACAGCGTGCCCTACCCGCACTGGGCCCTGCTGTCCCGCCTGGGCCTCATCCCCGCTCTGGCCACCCCCGTACCCCATCATCTCAGGGAATGTCACAGCAAAATTTCTACAAGGTAAGGACACTCCTTTTGCTTTTATCATAGGCACAGTGCCATGAGCACCCCAAGAAATACAAATTTCTCCAATTCCATCCTCGATTTTTATGGTCCTGTGGGTTACACCACACCCCGACTATCAGCAGGTCCTACTGGCCAGCCCCCTCAAACCCAGAGCCCAGCAACGTCCCCGCAGACCTGCCAGAACCATGGGGACCCCCAGCTCCTTGCTGCATGGCTGTCCAGCCCACCCCACTTCCCGCAGGCTACGCTCGCCTCCATCGACATCCAACTTGAGTGCACACTCTCCCTGCCTGTCCTGCCTGCCCACTAGCCCAGGGACATTCTGCAGCTAAGGGCCCAGCCACTGCTCAACAGGGGCCTTCGTCAGGTGCTGACTCCTTACCTAGCGTCCAACGTAAAAGCAACGGCAAAGAAAAGGGTTTCCTGATAGAGAAATAGAGTCGATAACTGAGAGACAATGAGATCACACTGTCCACTCACCCCAAATCAGACCCACTCAGGTTCCTGTCCTGCCACTGTCCCTGTGGACTTCCTGCCCCCTGCTGACTGCTCTCCACACTGCCGCTCAGGGGACCATGGGGGAACCAGTGATGGCGATGATGGGTCCCCTGCCCCAGCCCCCACCGCCCCCCTCGGTGACACTGGCTCCCCACCCCGGCCCTCCGTGGAGACGCCATCTGTCTCACCCTGACTGGCTCAGTGCTGCGCTGACCTCCGGCGGCCCGCGCAGTCCTGCCTGCTTACGGCACCTGCTGAAATGACCCCGACACCAGGAGTGTTTCCAGAGGTTCCCCATCAAAGCTGGGGCAGCTGCTCACGTCCAGCACCAGCCACGCGACAGTGGACATGAGGCTGTCCATACGCGCAGATGAGCTGGGCTGGGCCGAGGACGCAGGCGCCGGCACACACACCTTGATCTTCCTCTGGTCAGTGGCCAAGGTCCCGTCCGTCACCAGCCCGCAGCCCAGGACATGCTCCAGGAAGCTGCTCAGCTTCTCGGCATCATGCTCTGCTCTGGAGCCCGAGGTCTCGACCAAGACATAGAACGGACTTTCTGAAAGGACACAGGCAGGGTGGTCGAGCTGTCAGGACAACTCCAGGTCAGCGCGGCAGAAACACCTCCGACGGCTGTGGTGGTGCCGGCGGGGCCCCGGGAGCCCACATAGCAGGAGCTCTGCTGAGGCTGAATTTCAGACGATCTAAAAATAGGCCTTTCAGTGACTAGGAAGGTTGGAACGACCCAGGTGACACCCTGAAGTCTTCACTGTTGGTGCCTGGATGGGTCAGAGGTGCCCAGGGCTGCGGACAGCCACGCGGACCAGAGCCTGGGAGACCTGCCACCCACCCAGGGGCCCACTGTCTTTCCAAAGACTGTGTCTTCTTTACTGCTGGACATTTATGTCGTTTCCTACTTTATACTGAAAGTAGCATCTCATTCAAGATTTAGAACATAAAGATCTCCCATATTTATAATGGTTGTGGGCTGAATTGTGTCCCCCCAAATTCCCATGGTGAAGCCCTAACCCACCCCTATACGACCATTTGGAGATCAGGCCTCTGCAGAGGTAACTAAGGTTAAATGAGGTCAGAGGGCAGGCCCTCAACAGAAGAGGAGTCCCGAGAGAGCTCTGGCCGCCGCGTGAGGACACATGGAGCGAAGGTGGCCCTCTGCCCGTTGGGAAGTGGGGCTCACCAGGAACCAGTCCTGATGGTACCATGGCCTTGGACTTCCAGCCTCCAGAACCCTGAGAAATAAATGTCTTTTGTTTAAGCCCCCGATCTGTGGGCTTCTGTCAGGGCAGCTAGGACTCAGGGAGGATCTCAGCAGTAAAACCACCCAGACCTCCAGCTCATAATCCAAACTGCCTTCCAAACCCTGTCTGAGTCACGCCCAGCGGGACAGGGAGCTGGTGGCTGCAGGTGGATTTGCTCCCTGAAGTCGGAGGGCCAGCGTGTCATGGAAGGGCGTGTCTCCTGGGCCTGGAGACAGGACAGCGTTCTTGACGAGTGCCCTTGGTTGTGTGGAGACCCCAGAGCTATGCCCGACCCGGCTGCATGCAGTGCAGTGACCGAGGGCACATTTAAAACAAACTAAATAAGCCCTGGCCAGTTTGGCTCAGCGGTCAGAGCATCAGCCTGCGGTCCAGAGAGACCCGGGTTCTGTTCCCGCTAAGGGCATGTACCTCGGGTGCAGTTTGTCCCCGGCCCTGGTTGGGTCGTGCGGGTGGCAGCCACTCAATGTGTCCCTTTCACGTCAATGTTTCTCTCTCTTTTTCTGCCCCACTCTATCTGAACAAAAAATGGAAAAAATTTTTTTTATCCTCGGGTGAGGATAAAAAAATAAATAAAACAAACTCAGTAAGACTCCTGCACTTGTCTGATCTCGGTGACACCACGGCTGCAGAGAGGGCAGCTTCCTCTGTCCCCCTCCCCCGCTCTGCCCAGGACGAAGGCCTGCCGGCCTGAGCCGTCCGTGCAGGAGGCCTACAAGGAGGGGCAGGTGGCGGGCTCCGTACCTTGCACTGGGCGGGCGAGGCGCAGGTGGTGGCCCACCAGCTGCATGCACTCGGCATCCATGAACTCGTAGGCTGACAGGATCTCGCCCAGCATCCTCTTGCAGGTGCTGAAAGTCTGCAGAACCTCAGCAAAGCCTGGGCACCCTGCATGAGGCACACTGCTTCAGGCCACGCCAGCCCAGGGCCCTGCCCAGGCCCACTCGGATGCCTGGTAGAGTGGTTGCCGTCGAGGCGGCCTTGAGGAGAGGCAGAAGCGCCACTGAGGGAATGCCAGTCAGCCAGCAAGGACATCAGGGTGTCAAAGACGAAGACAAGCTCGCTGAGGGGCCCACGTGTGGGAGGCAACGGGAAGAGAGGAGACAGGCTTGGGAAAGTTGGCACAGGCCAGAAAGGGCCTCTGAAAATAGCTTGTTCTCCTTGGACTAATGCAGCGCTCAGATTTTTGTCGCTCGCTGGCTCATTTGAGACATTTTCATGGGCACAGAGAGGTAGCTGTGGTGCCCAGGCAGGGGGATGACCCCTCAGCACGAAGGCAGAGGGACCGAGTGGACTGCGGCAGGTGGAAAGGGCCCGAAGGCAGGGAGGGGTCAGGGATCGGAGGTCACGGACAGGTCGGGAAGAGTCTCAGAGAGAAGGGTCCAGGACAGCAGGGGCCTGAGGAAGCCCCTGTGCGCTTCGTGGCCAGAACATGGTGCAGAGGGGCTCGGCCACACGTGGACCTCACGGAGGGGAGCCCTCGTGAAATGAACAGATCGGAAGACACGGACAGCGAAGGGGTGGAAGGATGGGAGGGAGAGGCAGGTGCTGCGCGCTCAGCCACAGGCCAAGGGAGGAGATGGCGGGACTGCAGCCAAGGAGGCACTGGGCCAGGGAGACCCGGAGAAACGTACGGAAGACCAAGTGTCCAGAGACAGAAAGAGACGGACCCTCGGAGCAGCCAAGAAGGCCGCCCAGAACGGACTGTCTTCAACAGGTGGAAGGAAACGACGCTGAGAGCCCCATGGCCCTGCCTCTTGAGCATGTGTGCGAATCGAAGGCATTTTCAGAAAAGCTGACAGTGAGACCTTATCATCAGCAGACAGTCTACAAGCACATGAGCCCCAAGGAAGGTCTGTCAAGGAGGGATGAGGAGGACACCCGGCAGGTGTGCCTCAGTGGTTGAGCATCAACCCTGCACCAGGAGGTCGACGGTTCGATTCCCAGTCAGGGCACATGCCCAGGTTGTGGGCTGATCCCCAGTGGGGGGCGTGTAGGAGGCAGCCAGTCGATGTTCTCTCTCATCGATGTTTCCATCTCTCTCCCTCTCTCTAGCATCAATAAAGAGAAGAAAAAAGAGAAGTGAGGAGGAAGGAAGATGGCTCGTCTGTGATAATCATGACCCGAGAGATTCAGACAAAAAGGATCCAGAACCAAGAGAAAAAGGTGTAAGTTGGGAGGGGAAGAAGCAGCTCCCGTTCCCACGACCCTGACTGTCCCAGCGGAGACACTGACAGGACTGGACGACTGCGCCAGTGAGTTGGGGGCCCGTGAGATGGGTCACCGAGGACAGGACGGGTCACACACCCACCCAATGGAGTGAAGCAAGAAAGGAGGTGGAGCCAGATGAAGGGCAGGGACTGAGGGAAGGGGTAAGGTCCTAGCTCAAGTCCGCTGGGAAGGGAGGCAGGTGGGCTCCCCCATGTGGAAACACCACATGTGCATCTGCTGAGGTGCCAGGGAGGGCAGCCATCTGATCATCCCACACCATGGAGACCGGTGTTCGAGACCTTACACCAAGTGACAGTTTCCCACAAAACCTGACCCATGTGCTCCTTAAATAACAAAGTGGGTGAGGGAGCTGAGAAGCACGGTTTCTACAGAATGAGGTTGTTCTGCTCCAGACCTGACTGAACCCCAAGGCCAGGTCCTGGATCCCTCTGGAAAGAGCAAGAAACCAGGAGAAACGAGGGTCCTACGGGGCCACCCGTGCCCTCTCTTGCACCATGGCCCCCGGCAGCAGACACCCCACCTACCGAGGAAGGCCACGTTCACGGCCCCGGGCTTGGGCGGACACAGGATGGACACTGCGGTGATGACCCCCAGGGTGCCCTCTGACCCGATGAAGAGCTGCTTCAGGTCGTAGCCCGTGTTGTCTTTCCGCAGGGAGGTCAGACAGTTCAGGACGGTGCCGTCGGCCAGCACCTGGCGCGGGAAAGGAGAGACAGGCTGTTTGTGCACCAGCCCAGCCCAGGGAAGCAGGGCCCAGGGTGGGGCCCGGAGTTACCAGTCAGACTAAAGGGAGGACTTCTTTGTTGTTGCTGCTGTTAATCCTCACCCAAGGATATTTTTCCATTTATTTTCAGAGTGGAAGGGAAGGAAGGAGGGAAAGGGGGGAGAAGGAGAGGGAGAGAAAAAAACATCAAGGTGAGAGAGACACATGGAATGGCTGCCTCCACCTGCACCGACCAGGTCCAGGGGTTAAACCTGCAACCCAGGCACGTGCCCTTGACCAGGATCTGAACCAGTGACCTTTTGGTGCACAGGCTGATGCTCTAACCACAAAGCTATGCCGGTCAGGGCTGAAGGAAGGATTTTTCTTTCTTGGCTGCAGTGAAATCCCCACCCCCAAAACCACGAGGCTCAGGGCAAGCTGGCAAAAAGCAGGGCCCACACCTGGAGATGGAGCAGGGCCCACTCCTGGGGTACACAGGACACACCTCGCAAACATGACTGATTCAACAACAGCAGCTGCGGCCAGAGCACAGAGCTCCTGGGCCTCGGTCAGCGCAGGAAGCCCAGCACACAGCGTACGCTCGTCCCCCCTCGGTCACTGGCAGAAAACCACAAGGTGTGATAGGCGAGGCCAGCGAGGGTCCAGGGAAAGGGACTCTACACCCTGGTGCGACTCAAGGCCAAGAGACCGTCCTCGCTCCTCTGCAGAGCCTGGGGCCCACGAGCGGAACGTCCCTGGGTCGGGGAATCTTCCCGGGTGAAAGGTGCCCAGAGCGCCTCACAGGGACCAGAAGCCAGAAGACAGCCCCCCGCACTGTGCTGTGTGACCCCCCCACACCTTGGCAGGACGCAGACAGGCTGGGGCGGGACGGTGGGGCCCGATACCTGGCACCACTTGGACGCAAGGGCAGCCTGAGCACACACCAGTGTCCACACAGTTGCCCTCCTTCGAGAGAGGAATGAACCCTCACCCAAGGACACCGGACGGACTTCACAGCCAAGCCCGACGGCCTCACTCCGAGGCCTCACGAGCACTGACAGCTGGGAAGGCTGGAAGGGCCGCGCCCTGAGACCGGACTGGGCACAGGAAGCCCAGCCGGGCTCCCCGGGAGGCAGGGCCGCACCTGCACCCACAGCGTGGCCCCTACTCACCACCTCCAAGCCCAGGACGGTCCCGCGCAGCGAGCCGTATCTCAGAAACCGAAGGCCACCTGCATTGGTCGCCAGGTTTCCCCCGATGTGGCAGCTGCCCTTCGCTCCCAGATCCAGAGGCATGATGAAGCCTCGCTCCTCCACGTACCGGCTCAGCTCCTCCAGGATGCACCCCGCCTGGCAGACCAGGATCCCTGCAGAGCGGGCAGAGCTACCACGCTGCTCCCAGCTCAGGGCAACAGGCAGGGCCTGTGGTGCACCCCCACTCAAGGAGCTGCGCTTCAGGATCCAGCCCAGAACCCAGAAAAGGAGCGTGTGCCCCATCCCCCCCAGGAGGTTATATCTGTGACAACCGTGAAAAAGAGGAAAAACAGGTAAGGCGAAAATGAAAAGAAACACATGTGCGCACGCACACACGTGTGCCTATGGAAAGGAGCAGAAAAGACTTTGCTGTGAGGCAGTGGTCCTCAACTAGGGGTGATTCTGCCCCCCAGGGCACATGTGGCAAGTCTGGAGACATCTCTGGTTGGGGTGCTGCTAGTGTCGAGTGGGTGGAGATCAGAGATGCTGCTCAACACCCTCGGTGCCCAGGTGCCCCCACCACAGACAGTGGTCCAGCCTGTATCCCACTCAAGAAGCCACCACCACGACTCTGCCGCACCCTGAGCAGGAAGCCTCTTCATGCTATGTGACCTCACACACCCAAAAGTCGATCCTGGCCAGAAAATGTCAGAGTCCAAAGGGGCCACTGGGACAGCCCATCCCCTTCACCTCAAGCCCACAATATAAGTCACTAAGTGACCAACCAAGCAACACCCCCTGTGAGCATATGTCCCGAGGACCAGGCATGACCAGAGCTGGTCCTTTTTTCCTGGGCCAGGTTCCCACTGCCCAGCCCCAGCAGCTGAGGACAGCACCCACGGGCAGCCAGGCTCACCAGACACATTGTGGAAGCTGATGACCTGGTTCATGAGGGCAGTGGACAGGATGATCTCATCAAAGACAGGGACGCTGCCCCCCACCAGACCTGTGTTGCCCCCCTGGGTGTTCACGGCCAGGTTCCTCTCGTGACAGTACCTGGGACAAGCACAGGGGGTATCAGGCCCCCTTCCCCACGCCCACGCCACCATCCCGTGGGACACGCTCCAGGCTTACGTCTGACTATGGGCAGCGATGGCAACTGAGGGCCCCTTGACGGGTGATAATTTGGAGAAATGGGTGGGTGTGCCCACACGCATCAAGTAAACCCATCCTGAAAGGTGTCAGCCTCTAGGGGTGGATGCTGAGAGCAGGAGCGTGTGGAAGCATGATGCATAATAACATGAAACTCTAGACAACCTTGGCGTGGTCGGGCAACTGTGGGGGACTGTAAATGCAGGGCGCTTGTGGAGCGGGCAGCTTTCATGTGTCGAAATGGCACGGGAGAACAATTTGCACCAAGAAATGGGCATGGATTTGCCAAGTGGAAAAAAAACAAAAACTACAATGTCTTAAATACAATGTGATAATATTTAAAACCACCCACAACATGCAGAAGAGATATTAATGTAGCAAATCAAATGTCATCGGTGGTTATTTTTGGAGGTGAAATTAGTTGTTGCTTTTGCATTTTTTTTCTTTACGGTTTTCTGTGTTTTCCAATTTTCTATAATACACATGATGGTTTACTGATATAAAAAAAAAATCAAGAAATGTGCCCGGCCAGTGTGGCTCAGTAGTTGAGCGTGGACCCTGCATCAAGAGGTTGCTGGTTTGATTCCCAGTTGGGGCACATGCCCAGGTTGTGGACCAAATCCGCAGTGGGGGTGTGTGCAGGAGGCAGTCAATCGATGTTCTCTCTCATCGATATTTCTGTTTCTCTCTCCCTCTTCCTCTCTCTCTAAAATCGATTTAAAAAAAAAATGAAGTTTTTAAAAATCAAGAAATGGCCCTGGCTGGTTCGGCTCAGCCTGTGGACCAGAGTCCTGGGTTTGGTTCCCACTAGGGGCACATACCAAAAAAAAAAAAAAAAAAAATTCAAGAAATGTGTATTTCAAGAAAAAGTCCATTTTCCTGGAGTCTGCAGCTACTCCCACACCATGGCCTGGCCCAGCAACCAAGGTTCTGAGGGTCAGAGTCAGCCCTGCGCAGGCTGCCAGCTTCCCGGGGTCTGCATCTGCATGTCTTCAAGAGGAAAACACTCACGAACCAAAGGGAGGCATGGCGGGCTTCTTACCTGAGGATGTGAGACACCTCCTCCGATGTCCGGGGCTTCAACAGCACCTTGCTACAGCCTGAGACAGAAAAATGTGTTACACCGATGGGGAGACCTCCTGGGCCTATGCTCCGGGGGTACGAAGGTTCTTCAAAAGGACGTTCTCACTCCTTGGTGAGGTGACCTACACAACCACAGTCACCCAAAAAGCTCAAGGACAAGAGCAGTCGGTCTGTGCACTGCGGGGAGGTGGAGAGGCCAGCAGAGGGTGACGACAGCGGTCGTGGTGAAGGTGGCCAGGGGTGAGGGGAGGGTGCCTGCCTGGCTTCTCCACTGCAAGTTACTAAGTATCTGAGGGGAGACACTTAATGTGGATACTCTGTTGCTCCTCCAAGTTCACACACCAATTTAGCATCCATAGGTTTTCATTACTGAAGTGGTTCTTAGGCTGACTGCCAAACGGTGATTTTCACCTGTCCTATGTTGAGTAGCTGACCTTGGACTGTAAGGAGGGTCCTTCTTTCTTCCTCATGTATTTATTTAGCTATTCAACCATATCAGCATGGGCTCCTGGGTTCTTCTTTTATTCACTGGGTTACAATTCTTTACTGTGATTTGAGGCCCAGATGTGGCTGGTGGGAGCCCCCTGAACTAGTCTGTTGGCATCCCTAACCACTGCCCACTTCTGCACCTTCGTTCTGTTGAAAGAACTTGGACGAGATGAGCGGAGGCCGCAGAGGCCGGAGGAGCACCGAGCACATGTTCCTCCTACATCAGCAACTCTTCACGGCTGTGAGATCAGGCTGTAGTTTTTATCTTACATTTTGATTCTGAAAATTATCTTTCATTTGCTTCTTATCAAATAACCAAGTTTGCCCAGGGAGCTGTCTGGCATCATCCAGGGCCCGTGGTCCCCACTGAGGTTCCTGCGGTTCCACTCCCTCGGAGTGGGGTTCTCAACATCCGAGTGCCTGAGTGCTGAGCCCGCTCATACACACAGAGGATAAGAACAGACAAGATCGCCTGCTCTTGTGAAGTTCATCTTTGTTGTTAATCGTCACCTGAGGGTATTTTTTCTACTGATTTTTAGAGAGAGTAGAAGGGATGGAGAAAGGGAGGGGGAGAGAGAGAGAGAGAGAGAAACAACAATGTGAGAGAGACACATCAGTTAGTTGCCTCTTGCATGACCCTGACTGGGGCTGGGGATCAAACCTGCAACCCAGGTACATGCCCTTGACTGGGAAGTGAACCCTCAACCCTTCGGTCCTTGGGCCGATGCTCTAACCACTAAGACAAACTGGCCAGAGCGTGAAGTTTATCTTCTGATGGAATAAAGGATAAAGAAATGAAAGGGTTGTTCCAAACGGTCCCTACATTCACAGTGGAGCCCACAAAGAGATCCGAGCATGGAAGAGAAAAAAGTCATCAGACAGCCTGGGAAAAGTGAAGGCAAGGAGTGTCTAAGAGGCCAGACTGCCCAGTCAGTGAGGGACAGAGAGAAAAACCAGCCCCAGAGGGTCAGGGCACCCCACCCCACCCCATGCCTTCTTGACTCTGAACACCCTGGTGTGCTCTGGGGCTGTTGCTATGGGTGGCCTGCCTTCAATTCCTGCACACTCAGCATTCTGACCACTGCCTGCAGCTGCACCCTCTGGCATTTGACAACCCAAACTGCAAGCACCTTCCACACGTTTCAAAGAGCCCCTCTGCCAAAGTGCAGGTGCCCAGTGTTCCTCCTCCACTCTGGAGCCGCCATTCCCCGGGGCTTCTGAGCCTCTAGCCCCCTTCCTGTGTCATCATCTTTGCTCCCCCTGAGGCCCTCCAAGAGCAGCAGGCTCCTCCCTCCCTTGGGCACCACTGTGCTTGGGATGCAGAGGTGTCCTGCTTGCCCCACACTCTCTTCCAGATGCCAGAGACGGTCCCCACCGAGTACCTCCCCCAGCAGGCACAAACCCTGGCTGCCCGGTGCTCCTCCTGGTGACCTCAGGGTCACCGACACCAGAGTCAGCACTGAAGCTGAGGGCTCCATCTAGCCTGCACCCAGGTTTTGCAAGTGGAGTTTTATGGAAGAACAGTTGTGCCCCATTGAGAATGGGGGGGGGCATCGATTTGTCACTCCACTTGTTTGTGCATTCATGTTTCCCAAGGATCAAACCCGCAACCTTGGCACATCAGAAGGACGCTCCAACCGACTGAGCACGGGGCCGAGGCAGCTGTGCCCGCTGTTTGCATCTGTGCCTGCCTTACCACAACCCCGGCAATGAGGGGCTGGACAGAGACCTGACATCTTCACTCCCAGCCTCTGCAGGAGCTTTGGCCCCACAGGCAAGGCATGCCACTCCTGACTCGGACCCTGCCCACCCTCTTAACATACTCTTGTTAACTATCCTGTCATCCAATCTCTACCTTGCTTTCTCCCACCTTCGTGTGATCTTCACTATGGTCCCTCCTTAATTTCAAATGCTTGAAAGCTGCAAAACTGTTATTTTCTAGAGAATTTGAGATCTTGCTTCCTGGCATACATCAGTTTGGTTCTAATAAACTCATAAAAAGTCTCTTGCCGTGGCCAGTTGGCCTCAGCGGTCAGAGCGTCGGCCCAGGGACCGGGGAGTCCCGGGTTCAATTCCCACTAAGGGCATGTACCTCAGTTGCAGTTCATCCCCGGCCATGGTTGGGGTGGTACGGGTGGCAACCAATCAATGTGTCTCTCTCATGTCGATGTTTCTCTCTCTCTTCCTCCCTCTCTCCCTCCCACTCTACCTGAAGATAAATGCAAAAAAATATCCTCAGGTGAAGATGAAAATTTTTTAAAAAGTCTCTTGCCTGTTGCCCGGCCAGTGTGGCTCAGTGGTTGAGCATGGACCATGCACCAAGGGGTTACCAGTTCGATTCCCAGTCAGGGCACATGGCCAGGTTGTGGGCCCAATCCCCAGTGGGGGCATGCAGGAGGTAGCCAATCAATGTTCTCTCTCATCGATGTTTCTATCTCTCTCTCTCTCTCCCTTCCTCCCTCTGTAAAATCAATAAAGAAAAAAAAATTTTTTCTTTAAGTCTACAGGTTTCGGCCCTGGCTGGTGTAGTTCAGTGGTTAGAGAGTTAACCCACACACTGAAGGGTCATGGGCTCAATTCTCGGTCAAGGGCACACACCTGGGAGGGTTGCAGGTTCGATCCCCAGCCCTGGTTGCAGTGCATGAGGGAGACAGCCAATCAACGTGTTTTTCTCCCCCTTCCCTTCCCTTCCACTCTCTCTAAAAATCAATGGAAAAAATATCTTTGGGTGAGGATTAATGAAAAACAAAAAAAGGTTCTCTCCAGGTTTGGGCATTTATGTCCTGTGTGATGACAGAGCCAGAGAGTGGACTGATGCTGTCCCCAGAACTTGGGAGGGGCAGGAAGGATCCTCCTGGAGCCCCCAGAGGGAGCACAGCCCTGCGACACCTTCGTCTCAGCCTTGTGGCCTCCAGAACTGACAGGACCCATCTCTTAAGCCCCATCTCCGGTTCTTTGTCACAGTGGCCTCAGGATCCTAACACAGGACCTGAGAGGAAGCAAGCAGCACACAGACCCCCCGGAGCAGCCAGGGGACTGTGCTGGCCTTTAATGCAGTCTCATGCACCACCAAAAAACTTCCATAAATCCTGTCCTCAGAGCATCTGAAGGTCACCAACATGCAGCTGTTCCTCTGCCTAATAAAGTGCGTGGGACCCCCCCCCACTCACCTCGCATGGTTCTCAGCCAGTCCACGTTCGAAGCGGCCAGCTCCTCCGGGTCTGTGATGACCCTCCCAGGGATGATGCGCTCAAAGGTGGCCAGGTCGTCCTCAGACACCGAGGAGAAGGGCAGCCGCCGGACAGGATAGCGCTCGCAGGTCAGGGCCACCCCTGGGGCCTGGGAGGAGGTGGAGGAGCTGCCTCTGCGAACCAGGGGGGTAGTGCCCTGGACCCCATGAAGTCTGCCCCACACAGGGGTCCTGGACGCCCCCACGCATGTGCTCTGCCGCACGAAGGCTCCAGCAGAGCAGGCCACCTGCCACGGGAAAGGCCGCACAGGACACCTGGGTGCCAGACGGGGCACCATCCTTCTTGCCCTAGAAAGCAAGTGATGGGACCTGTAACCGGGATACTAGGGGCGGTGAAAAGGACGCAATTGCCTGGGGGAAGGGTGGAAATGAGGAAGTTGGGAAAGTGAGGGCAGGACAGCAGGAGAGGTGGACTGGAGGGGACGGGACAGAGGCAGTGCTCGGAGGCTCTGCCCTCGCTCCTGTCCCAGGTGTGGCCCCTGCAGGAAGGCCTCCTGAGGACGTGCTGAGCTGTCCCCTCCCGGCTCTGCCCTCCCTAGAGGTTGTTTCCTTTCAGCCCCCCTCCTTCGGAACAAAACCAGGATTGGAGGCCTTCAAAGGAAGGGACGGATACCACTAAAGTGAGGGTACAGTTAAAAATGGCGAAATAGGCCGCTGGTGTGGCTCGGTGGCCTAGCGTGGACCCTGCACCGGGGGTCGCGGGTTCATTCCAGTCGGGGCACAAGCCCAGGTTGGGGGCCTGCTCCCCAGTGGGGCGCGTGCAGGAGGCGGCCAGTCATGTTCTCGCATCGATGTTTCTCTCTCTCTCCCTCTCCCTCGCTCTCTCTCTAAAATCAATAAAGTGGGAAAGAAAAGTCCAAATGGTAACTTTTGTTTTATGTATATGTTACCACAAGTTTTAAAAGCGCAGAATCTAAAAAGGACATAAGAGGCAGCGCCTCCGGCGGCCCAGGCGGTGGGGGTGGGTCCGCAGAGACACCCGCGCGGGCGGCGGCGGCGGACACCTGCCCTCGCGGGGCGCTCGGGCAACCGGGGCGGCACCGGCCGCGCTCTCGGCGGGGCGGCGGGAGCCGAGCGGCCTCTGCCTTCCGGCCCCGGCCCCCCGCGGCCGAGGACCCGCGGCCCCACCTGGCGGCCGCGCTGGACGGACGCGGAGCGCGCTCGGGCTCTTCCCGCGAGACACGCCGGGCGCGCGCGCTCACGTGACGGCCGCGGCCCGCACGGAGTCAGACCCGCGGGGGGCGCCTGCGCTCGCCGACCACGGCCGCCGCTCCGCCCCGCAGCCCGCAGCCCGCGGCCCTGCGCTCAGACCCCCGGCGGCCGCGCGCCCACTCACGTCCACGTCCCGGTGCGGGCGCAGCGTCCGAGGCCGACCCGAGCCCCCGAGCCAGTGGGCAGGGCGGGCGGGACTGAGCCTGCGCACTGCCGCCCTTCGGCCCCGCCCCTTCCCGCAAGCCCCGCCCCGGCTCCGGGCCCCGCCTCCAGCCCCGAGGTGCCGGAGGCCCGCTGCCCCGCGGGGCTCTCAGCGACCGCGTCCTCCCGGGCCTCCCCCGCTGCGGGCCCCGCGCCTGCCGCAGGGCGCACGCCCCCGAGGCTCGGTGTGTTTCGCGGGCAGAACCCGAGCTAGTTCCCAGCGCCTTTTCCTGCGCAGCGGCCGCCCGGGCCTCCGGAGGCACCGCTGGGGCGCGGGCGCGTGGCCGGCTGCGGGGCCACGGCAGGGCCGCCCCCTCTCCTTCGTCCGGGTGTCCGCTGCCTGCTGGCGGGCGCCCTGGGCTCTCGCGTGGCCTCCGCCCGCCCGCACCTGGAGACACAGCGGCAGGAGGGAAGGAACCAGGCCTAGCCCCTCCGTCGTCCCAGGGATGGCCCGCACCCCAGCCTCCTCCCAGCCCTCAGGGGTGCCCCCTCGCCCCAGCTCCATGGGGCGCCCCCTCCCTGAGCTTCTGCGCCGCCAGGCAGGTGGCACCCACTCCCCCAGTGGCTGAATCCCCGCCAGCCCTCCTCAGAGCAGAGTTGTGACCAGTCCCCTCCTGCACACGGCTGGACCCAGAAACTCCAGCTTCCTCTCAGCCCCCAGGTGTAGGGGTGGTAGCTGCTGCCTGTGATTCCTGTTCCCTGGGCCCTCCAGGACCCTAAATTAAGCTCTTACAGTAACACGTGGCTTCTATTTTCCTCACTGATGCGGTTCTTGGTACCCGTGTTGGAGTCACCTCACACCCTCTGGCTTCCGTGGGTCCTACTGAGGCATCTCCGGTTCCCCATGTGGTCAGTGAGGCAGACAGGAGGGATACTCTGTGATGCCCGATGATGAAGGTCAGTGGCCAGATGACTGCAGACAGCAAGAGCGTTCATGCAATCCTGACTCGAGGCACACTGACAGCTTTGCCAAGGAGAACAGCCGGGTCCTTGCTGACCACTGGTGGGTGTGCCCGGTGCTCTGGCGACAGTGCTGCAGCTGGAGCCATCAGCTGACCCCGTCTCTGGAAACTTCCCACAGGTGCATCCGCTCCATTGCACCTTCCGCTGAAGGATGAAGGATGTTTGCTTTTGCATCATTGTCTTGGCAGGGAGAGGACAGGGCAGCCCAAAAACTTATGCCTGGCCCTTCCTGGCTTAATGGCCCTTGTTCCACAGGTCAGTCGCTGCAGGAATCCTGCCAGCTGTCAGGTCTGTTTCAGGGATGCAGGCAGGCCCTGGGAAGTCTTCCCACCTGATGGCCCTAGGTCCTCACTCTGACTAGTAGACCAGCTGCATCTGGGACCTCTGGGGACTGGTAACAGTTCAGAACCACCTCACCCCAAAACAAAGAGTTGGTGTTTCCTTTTCCCAGGAGTCACCTAAAGAAATGGCTGTAGGTGCCCTGGCCGGATATGTTCAGTGTTTAGAGCGTTGGCCAGCTCACACAATGGTCACAGGTTCAATTCCTGGTCAAGGGCACACACCTGGATTGCAAGTTCAATCCCTGACCCTGGCTGGGGCTTGCGCAGAAGGCAACCAATCGATGTGTCTCTCACATTGATGTTTCTCTCTCTCTCTTCCCCTTTCCTTCCACTCTCTAAACGTCAATGAAAAAATACCCTTAGATGAGGATTTTAAAAAATGGCCCAGTGTGGCTCAGTGGATTGGGTGTCATCCTATGGACTGAGAGGTCCCAGTTCCATCCCCAGTTGGGGCACATGCCCGGGTTGCAGGCTCAGTCCTCAGTGGGGGCGTGCAGGAGGCAGCTGGTCGATGTCTCTCTCTAAAACATCAACATAAAAAATAAAAAATAGCCCTGGCCAGTTTTGCTCAGTGGTTAGAGTGTTGGCCTGCGGTCCAGAGAGACCTGGGTTCAGTTCCCACTAAGGGCACGTACCTTGGTTGCAGTTTGTCCCCGGCCCTGGTTGGGTCGTGTGGGAGGCAGCCACTCAGTGTGTCCCTTTCACGTCGATGTTTCTCTCTCTCTTCCTCTCTCCCACCCACTCTATCTGAACAAAAAAATGGAAAAATGTCCTCGGGTGAAGATAAAAAATAAATAAAAATAAATAAATGGCTGCAGGCACCCTTGCAGTGCTGAGGGGGAGGCGGATGGCAGATGCCAGGCTTTCACTGTCCTTCACGGTGACTACGATGGTGTCTGACCACTCAACTCTCAGAGAATGTCCTAAGAGCTAATTCGTTTCCATGGGGTCTTGACGCTCCTGCAGGTCTGGATGGCAAACCTGTTCCAGACCAAGCACTTTCGGTCTCCACACGGCAACCCCGAGCACCCTCACCCACACATCTTTCTTGTGAGCTTGGGAACCAACTTCTCACGCACAACACAGCGGGGCCCAGAACTGGCTGCTGACCAAGGTGAGGCCAGGGTCCCACCCAGGCCATGACCAGCACACAACTCTCCTCCAGTTCACTTCACGTCCTCTTCAAAATTCAAGGTAGTCCCCTGGCCAGTTTGGCTCAGCGGTAGAGTGTCGGCCCAAGGACCAGAGTCACGGGCTCAATTCCAGTCAAGGGCACGTACCTTGGTTGTGGTTTGGTCCCCGGCCCTGGTCGGGATCATGCAGGAAGCAGCCGATCGCTATGTCTCTCTCGCATCTGTTTCTCTCTCCCTCCCTCCCACTCTATCTGGAGATAAAGAAAAAAATATCCTCTGAAGATTAAAAAAAAAAAAATTTCAATGTAGTTTATACTCACCACCTCTGGACACAACACTGAAATTTTATCATTTCCCTAAATGATGCGTTCTCAATGTTTTTTCCAAAAAATACTTTATTTATTAAACAATATATCCATAATCTATACCATGATCCAAAAATACAGATATACATCTTTACATTACTTAATAAAAAGATTCACAATATTATCTGTCCTTTACAAAGGGAACATAGATAATGATCCCTTGAAAATAAAATGTAACATTCATGTTAAAGCTGCTCATCTTTTTGGATAAAATGTGGTAAAAGTGGACACCACAAAACACATACGGAGGAAGAAACTTCACAGGACTGTCTCCTGAATGAGAATACCTCTTAGACTTTCCGTCTTAAATGCCCTCAGCACAGGTAATGACAACTAATCGCTGTTTGCTGGTAACTGAGGAAAACCTCGACTCCCCGAGGCCCGCGAGAAGTGTCGGGATCCTGCGCCGGGGCCCGGCTGCGGCACGAGGACGGTGGTATTGCCCGGAGCAGCCCTGCCAGGCAGGGCGGGCGGCAGTGCGGCGTGGCCGCCTGGAAGAGCACCGACACGCAGCTGGCCGCTGTCCCCACGCGGCCCGGCACGCCCTGCTGTCGCGGGTGCACATAGCTGCACACCCGGCTCCCAGGGCCCTGGCCACTCCTCGCCTCGCGTCCACCTGCCCGGGCCCGTCCCGCACAGTGGGGAGTCAGCAGGCCTCAGCCCAGCGGAGGGCTCCACCAGCACAGCCAGAGGTGCAGGGCTCAGCTTAGCAGACTTATTGCAGACGTGTCCTGTCAGAAAACAAGGCTTCTCAAGTGCTGGCTGGGAACACAGCACTGAGAACAGGAAAATGGTTCTGCTTCTCCTCTGAACAAGACATTTCTTCCTTCACCAGTAATCCCAGCCATGGGGGCCGAACCCTCACCACTGGGCCCAGCCTAGATCCTGCGACCCGAGGGATGGGGTTGGCGCCAACAGTCCCCAGGATCAGATGTGGGACCTGCAGGCACAGACGGGTCCGGCCTGCACCACCCCAGGACGAGGGCAGCCAGGCAGTGAGGAGCAAAGCTCTGTGATGCTCCGGCTGTCCATGCAGGGCCAGAGCCGGCCAAGTGGCACGACATTCCTCCCAACCAGTCACTCTTCGTCTTTCCAACTGGACAGCATTAATGGTCAGGAATGGCGTTCAGTCATCATCCAAACAGCCCAGGGAACCTTCCTACCCTGCTCACGTTTTCTGTTTTCTTCAGAGCTGGCTGCGCATTATTTTGGTGAATCATTGTAACTGGCAGAAGTAAACACGAGAAACAGATGAGCACAGAAAGCTGACACCTGGGATGCTACAAGCAAAACAACATGGAACTGAAGACAAAGCTGAAGACAAGCTGGTCATCATTCCCAGGAAGTGAGTGTCGCCCCAGGAAACCAGGTGGCAGAACTAGGCAGCACACCCTGCTCATCGCAGACTCACTGGACTTACTTCTCTCCACAAAGCCCAGGGGCTACGTGCAGGCCTCGCGTCGGGGCTGAGCTGCAGGTGTACCCCCAGCTTCTCCCTGAGCAGCAGGAGGATATCGGCACTGAGAATGTGCAGCGGGCCTGGGACTCACCTGGGACCCACCAGGGACAGGCTGTGGCAGCTGCTGACCCCGACCCTAACCACCAGCCCGAGACGGGAAGGGGCACGCAGGCTGAAGCAACCTACCCGCAGTCATTTGGAAGCAAGTCCAGCTCCCTCGGGTGGCTCTAGAAAAAACAGCCATCCAGACACGTCCCGCACAGGGTAGCGCCCGCTGAGGACCGCAGATTCCAACTAGACCCCGGCCTCCCTCTGACATCTGCTCTCATTGGCCAAAAATTAACTCACTTGCAGGGAGTGGCTGTGGAGGTGCAGCTGCCCCAGTGCCTCTGCCCCATCCCTGCTCCCTGGGGAGACGCTGGAAGCTAGCAGAGGACGTGGCGGAGGAGGACGTCGGAGGAAGCAGGTGGACACTCCAGGGGACCCTCCTCACAAAGGGTGAGATTCTCTGATGCTGGGCATTCCACACCTCGACTCCATCTCCTGGGTTTCTCTCGCTGACCAGAGGAGCCCTAACTTGTCTGAACCACGTGGGGCGCATCTTGGAGGACCCAGGGCTCCCAGAGGCCACACTCCAGGTGCCATCTCAACATGCCCAATGTACTCGGTGTCCCCAGCGAGTACCAAAGACGATTCAAAATCAGTCAGTGAATGCTGATTAAACAGGAAGTACGCTCCAGTTTCCCGGCTCCGTTCTAGAACTGCTATTGTGGCACAAGAAGTTCACAAATCACATCACATAATCGTAGCCCCTGGGAGACAAGGCGCTGACCCGTGTGTAGCAGAAGCAGGTTCAAAGCCGGCTCTTAGTAGACCAGACTCACATCACACACAGACCCACTGTCTTCATGCGATGACAATGATTTCATCTTCACAGTAAAAACATCTGGAATTCCCAGAGAAAGAACATCAGCCGTCTGTTACGCTGTCTCTCAGTGGTGCTGGTGTTGGTGACTAACAACCCGTCCGTCAATCCAGGCCCGTTGACTCCAGACAGTACAACGGCAGGGAGGAACCGGCAGTCCAGACTAAGGGCAGTGCATGGCCAGCAGTTCCTCCTGAGGAGCGAGTCCTCCTGCACAGCCGCCAGCTCCAAGCACACCGAGCAGGGAGGCAACGCCGGCCACACTGCACACCTGTGCACTCAGCATGGACAATGTGCACACGGTGGTGTGGGCGCTCGGGGAGCCCAGGAAACTGCAGACCACGCACAGCTCACGCCTCTTGCTGCAAAGGATGGCAGTGTCCGCTCCCAGTGGCACGTCCCACCAGGCCCAGCACGTCACACGCACACAGCCACAGAGTCACCTGGGCTCCTCCTGGGACAGCCGTGCTCAGTGCCAGGGTCTGTACAAAAAGTCATGAGAACAAAGTCATTGTGGCAAGTCCCCATAAGATCCCTCCTTTGTGCAAACAGGGCTCAGGTGGATTCTTGCTGGATTTAGAAAATATCCAGAGTTACAACTGGCCATTGCGTTATTAAATATTTGAAATAAGGTAGTTTTATGATGAAGACAGAGTATTGCAACATGAACAAAGGAGTGTATCGACGCGCCCTTCTGCCCCGACACCAGCCTCTTCCTTACTTCTTCTTCCTCCTCTCCTGCACGCACCGTGGGCAGAACCTAGGACGAGAGAGGCACAGCATCGGCCCTTTGCAGATTTGCGCCCGCGCTCATGAAGCCCCGACCCTGCCTCCCGGTGAGACAGTACCAGAAGAGAGACCCACAAACATGCACAGTTCTCCCGCCTGGAATAGTCTCCTAAGCAAGTTGCTCTTTCTAGCATGGCTGTCTTTAAATCAATCAGCAAAACTCCTTTCAAACATGAGATTTCTCTTGACTAAACTAATGGGTCACCAGTGACCAAAACAGATGACAACCACTGTCAAGCTGGTAGCCTAGCATGGGTGCAGGATGGCCTGCACGCTGAACCAGGAAGGCCACAGACTCTGGCCCGCCCTGCCCAAGTGAGTTTCGGAGCCTCAGACACAGCGCTCTCTGTCACTTCTGGACCGAGGCCGCACACAGGGACACAAGGACAGTCCGTGGTGCTTTCCACCCCAGCCCTCCTGAGCCCCTATCAGGGGGCAGCTGATTCCGTGTGGCTGAGCCCCTGCAGCCCAGGTCTGTGCTAGTGAGCGAGCCCTGAGGAAGCCTCTGCCCCTGTTCCTGCTCCGACCCTACCCCTGCCCTCTGGCCCCTGCCCACTCCCGGCCCCTGCCCTGGCTAAGCCCTGGAGAAGCACCAGCATCACGCTCGCTCACGGCACAAATAGGAGCAGGGCAGCCAGCCACATCTCACCGACAGGGAAGAAACCTGTGCACTCTGTGATCTCTAAAAAGACCACAAAAAAACTGGGAGGGGACAGGCAGGTTGGGGACCCACCGGCCTCTGGGCTCTGCCTGTCCTCCTAGAGGTAAATGTTTTCCAAGGCCTGACAGACTCTCCCACCAGGAGCCTCACAAGCAACTCAAGCCCAGCACGTCCAGAATGAAAGTCTAATCAGCCCCTCCTGCCTCACGCCCCTTCCATCACCTCAGGAGCTCCTGCCATCCCGGCCGAGCCCATCTGTGGGTCGGCCCCTCCGCCCAAAGGGCCAACCTGCTCTGCCAGGGCCCGGCCAGCAGCCACGTGACGCTCCCGTCACCCACACCGAAGGGCACTGCCGGGGCTGCTGCAGACTCGCCATGTGTCTGGTGCCCAGGGGGCCCCTGCTGGGGTGACACTGCGCACAGCCCCCGACCTGCCCTCATCCACTGAGGACCCAGGGTCAGCCCGTCTGCACACAGCAAACGCATCACCACACGGACAGGGAGGGCGGCATCTCCCGACTGCCCACCTGCAGCACAAGTGAACAAGGCCAGGTGTGTGCTCACACGACACCACAGGGACAGCGGGAGACCAGGGTGAAGAGCAGGAGCTCGGTCCTGGCACGTGTCCCCCACCAGGCCGAGCACCTGCCACCTGCCCATCCACTCACACTGCTCCTCACCTTCTCTGAAAACTTCCCAGGTGGAGAAGAACCCCTCATTTCTAAGTTTTATTTAGGATCATCTCTACCTCACTCAAGAGTCCAAAGGGCCGTTCTACAGAACAGAATGTAGGTACCATGCAAATGTGGTAAGAGATGTCCCAGGGGAGGTGGGCAGCAGATGGCCCTCAGCAACTTGGCCAGGGACACAGGACCCGTGTGTGGCGCAGCAGGCCCCACAGCCACACCCAGAGTACCGGGGCCCAGGGGGAAGGTCACACTAGGCCCAGCCACCCCACCCTTCTCAGGGAGCAGACCGGGCAGCGCCCATACTGACCATTTTCCTTTGGGCTTCGTGGTCAGGTCGACACAGGCAAAGTGAAACCACTCGATCGGACACTGCAAGGTGGGGGCGGGAAGTGACTCAGAGTCAGAGTCCACCACCTCCCCCTCCCTCCCCACCGGGTACAGGACCCTTCCTGGGGTCCCGCAGGGATGCCGCAGTGTCCGGCTTCCCATTTCAAGGCCCCCATCCACGGCAGAACCCCACCACGCTGCGCCCCACACTCACGTCCGGATTGTCACAGCCGATCATCTCCCCGTAGGACACCTGGTGGCAGAGGCAGTAGGTGGGCTCGTTGGGGTCCACAGGCATGTCCAGCACATCGGAGGGGTGCACAGACAGGATGGTGTCCGTGAGCTCAGACCTGCAGGGACACGGCAGCTCTGAGCAGCAGGCAGATGCAGCCACATCACCCCTGTGGGACCCGACAGGTGGGGCCCGGGGGGGGCACAGAGACCTGTGAAGGGAAAAGCACTCCCCTCCCAGCACCAGGGTCCAGGCCCAAATGGCCACATGAAGCCATCCCGTCTCGGTCCCTCCTGCTCCCAGGATCGCCCTACCCCGCCAGGCTGACCTTCCTCAGCCTCCTGGGGGCCTCTCCCCCCAGGGACAGGCACCTTAGAGCCCTGCCTGGATCCCAAGACAGGTCTGGGAGTCGGAGCAGCTGCCTCACCAGCTCTCTCCCCGTCCCTCCCACAACAATGGCTGGCACATCCCCACACACCTTCTTCACCCTGAAACCCACGGAACCCACCATCTCCCCTTACCCTCCTTGGAGATCTAAATCTTGGGAGCCCCCCTCTGCCCACCCAGCTGTCCACCCATCAACAAGGACACTTCTGACCACAGCCAACCCCCCATCTGGGAAGCAGGCCTGTTGCCATTCACCCTCAGCTCCCCTCAGGGTCTCTAACCCAAGGCCTAGCCAGGATCCCGCAGTGCCCACACCTCCTCCAGCCACTGCCCACAGCTCTGCTGCAGGGCGGGTAGGACAGATGTCCACCTGTGACAGGGAAGGGACTAGAGCATTTACTCCTAATTGTTCCAGTATTTCTGAAATAAAGCTGTGAGCTGCAGGGGCACAGGCGGTATATTCCATCAGCAGGTCGGGCACACACATACTGAACACATGTGCACTGAACACACGTGCACTGAACACACATGCACCGAACACACACATGTTCCCAAGGCAATGGGGCAGAGGGGAAGCTGAGCAACAGTGGCAGCCAGGACAACTCCCACATGATGCTGTGGGTGCATGAGAAGTCTGCTCCCAAAGGGGAGCAGCCCTCACCTGTTCCTGTCTAGAGAGAAGTTTGCACCCTTGTGGCCACATACCAGGCTCCATGATGCTCCCGGCTGCCACACAGCATCCCTGTGCATGCTGCCCGCCCCCAGCATGAGCGCTGCCCATCCAGCCTCCAGGCCCGAGTCTCCTCCCTCTGCTGTCTTAGAACAGACAGGATTTTCTCTTTAGATCTGAAAACTACAAAAGTCACAAGAACCTGCCCCATCCGTGTGCTTTAACCCTGCTTCAGGCAACAGTCCAGCGGTCCTCAGGCTAGGACGCTGGGTCCCTGCCACACAGGATCCTAGTTTGTCACCATGGGCCATGAGTCTCACCCACCTCTGGCTCTGTCCAGCCTCCCAGGTGCTCACCCAGAGTGACCGCACGTACTGAGCACTCTCCATCCTTCTGTACTTTCCGCTGCCACCTGGCCTCGCCTGTCACCCTGTTCAAGGCACCAGCCAGATGTGGGTGGCAGCAGACAGACTGAAGGGTCTTAGGGAACCAACCAGCAAGGACACCAACCAGCCAGCGAGCAGGCCTGAGCCACCTGGCTCCAGGCTCACCAGAGGGGCCCAGGGTGGGGGGCGCTCACGCCACCTCTGGAGGGAAGGGTGCAGGTTGTCCGCCTGTCCCTCAGGCATGTCAGGAGACCCCCCGTCTGCGGTGCTCTCCCCAAGCAGTGCTGGGGGCCCCTCCCACACACTGCAGGTAGCCCCCCAGCAGGGTCAGCTGCTCGCTCAAGCTTTGGGGTTAGGAGGCTACAGGAGGAACTGTCCCCTGTCCATAGGCGGCTCCTGCCAGAGGACAGCACTGGCCAGGCAAGTGCAGGGGTGGCGACAGTGCAGCCTGGTGGCCGCAACTCATAGGGCTCCACAGGTGGGCAAGGAGGACATCTGTGAGGTCAGGGGACATGCCACTCTGGGAATGCCTGCCCATCCCAGGGGTGCCCTTCAGAAGGCCCCCAATAGGTAAGACAGAATCTGTAACAGACCAAAGTGTTCTGAAAACTATAGCCCTGCCCAAAAGTAGGCAGTGAAGCCATGGTGCCAATGAGGACACAGACCAGCAGGGAGAGTGGGCTCCCCGTGCGTGTCTCAGGACCACGTGCGCCGTGGCCTCCCGGGCAGGACAGAGGTGAGCCCATCAGCCTTCACTGTAGACACTTGCTTGGACCCTACACGCCCGAGCTCGAATGCTGGAGCCAGATTTCGGCGCCCTCACGTGCCCCCCCCACTTCCGCAGCCTCTCAGGCCTGTTTCGACATCTGTACACTGAGTCACAGCACCACTCAGGTGGCCACAGGAAGGAGAAGAGCCACACAGATGCGCCAGGTGCAGCCTGACTCCGAGGCCCTCGGCAAACACCTTCACCCTTGTAGTCCTCTTACCACCTGCGAAGGATGGGGGCAGCCAGCCCAGCAGAAAGGCTAAGCCACCGGCCTCCTCAGTGCTGCCAGAAAGCTGTCCCCAACCTGCACACCGTCAGGACTCTGAACGGAAAAGCCACAGCCCGGCCATCTCAAGCACCACAGGGCCATGTGGGTCATCACCAAGGTCTCTGAGGCTTGGCCAGGTGCATGCCCGTCAGGGAGGCTCCCACCGCACCCAGCAACTGGGGACCTGTCCCCTTCAAGGGGACCCTTGTGTGAGGAAGAGACAACTGGGAACGCCAATGTCGATGTCTGGGTCATGTGCCTCTTTCCCAGAAAAGGCACGGAGTACCTTCAGGTTCTGAGCAGCAGCTACACTATGAGTTAAAGAACAAACCCAACAAATAGCTAAAACCGTATTTTAAAGACGACAGAAAACTGAGGAGTGACAAGGGCTGGATGCCCTGGGGCCAAGGAGGAGCAGCAGCTACGGGGCAGGCCAACCACTCCTGGGCTCAGCCGCGGCCCAGGCACCCACTGGGCCACACAGACCTTCAGGACCCTACACCCACAGCAGCCGTGACCCCAGTCTATTTACTTGAACCAGGGACCACACAGGCTGCACAGTGATGGAAAGGCGGAGGGAAAATCCTGTCACGTCCTCGTGGGAGGGGCCGGCTCCCCCAGATCTGCGCCGACGCGGAGACAGTGCACAGGGTGAGAAAGCCTCATGGGAGGAGCCGGCTCCCCCAGATCTGTGCCAACGCGGAGACGGTGCACAGGGGGAGGAAGAATATGACACTGCCAAAGCACCGAGTGCCCTCCAGGCCACCTTTCAGGAGACAGGACAGACCTCTGGTTCTCAGAGGGGCCGGGCTCTGAGGGAAGAGCACCCAGCCCCCACCTGCTCAGTCTGCCTGGACCGAAGAGCAAGCCCCTCTGGGAAGAGCAGAAATCTCACTCCCAGGCTCCTGTTCACATCTGAAGTCAGACTGAGGAGGAAAAGCTGTGAGACGAGTAAGAAACAGGAGGACAGGACGTGACCAGACTGACGCCCGAGAGCAGCTGGGCAGAAGGCCGTGCACGCGGCCCCGACGCCGACGGACGAGGTCCTTACACAGCTGCTGGGGAGAAAGTGTGAAGGACACGGATGCAGACTGGAAGACTTTTCAAAAGGGACTAAAATCTGACCCAAAAAAGCAATCAAATGGGTGTCCTAGAGCGGAGAACACAGTTTATGAAATGCATTGTGACCCCAGCACCTGGAACTGACGCAGCCTCGCTGTCCAGGTGACAAGCTGCCCTCCGGCAGGTGCCTCCCTCTGAAGCGGGGCCACGGCCAGTGTCCATGTCCTGCCAGTTTGTGAGGCTTCGGCCTCAAGAGCCCACGCAGACTCCGCACCTGCATTCTAAGATCGGACTGAAACCCACCGGGTGTGAGGAGGGCGAGTGCAGTCTGACCCTCAGGGACGACGCACTCTCCAGGCTCGGGGAAACTGCAGGTCAAAGAGTCCTTCAAGGGGAGCCTGAAGAAAAGGGAGGTGAGCAGGAAACCTACGAACTAAAGAGACTTAAAGGACTTACCTAGAAAAAGAAAAGAGAAACCTCTACTTCTGACCATGACACAGTAACAGGTACTGATCCTGCCCTCCTATGAGCAGCTAGAAAACTGGAAAGTAGACGAACCACGGTTTCCAGACCCTGGACAAACGGCCACACAGCACTGCAGTCCTGAGAGGAGCACACAGGGGAGGCCGCACCACCTCGGCCTTCTGCCTGGGGGCACTCCCATGCTCCAGTCCAGACAGAAGAGCCAAACGGCATGTGTGTCAAGAACCCAGGAGAATACGCTACAGAAATCTACAAAGGAACTTGTTTTCAGTTCTTAGTGCACAAGCTGAGAATCCTGAGGCCAGGCAGTGCCCAGGCAGCTGTGCACAGCACAGTCCCCAGAGCACACACGCAGGCTGGAGGACATTCAAGTCTCAGCTAGCAGGGTGAAGAGACCTGGGTTAAACACCAAGGGCATTCGAAGAGAACACCTTAGCAGTAGAGTTAACCAACCCTCAAGTCAAGGCTACCCTAACCTGGGGGTTAGCAAAATACAGCCCGCAGCTGGCTGGCTGCGTCCGTAAATAACGCTTCACAGAAACACAGTTTGACATAAAACAGCACAGCTGAGAGGTCACAGCATAAATACTATGGCCTGCAAGCCTAAATTAGTTACTCTCTGGCCCTTTAAGAAGCTGTGTTTTCTGAGTTTGAAAACAAGCCTGCAAAGGAGAAGGCGAATCCACGGACAATTTAACTACTGACCAAAATTTTAAAACATAAAAATTCAACACCCATTAAATGAAGACAACAAAACCCAGATATTCAACAACATAAAATTCACACTGTCTACATCCAATCAAAAATTATTAGACAGGTGCATTGGCCAATCTGGCTCAGCAATGAGTGTCGGCCCACGGACCAAAGGGTTGAGGGTTTGATTCCTCATCAAGGGCCTGTACCTGAGTTACAGGTTCGATCCCTGGCCCCAGTTGGGGTCATGTAGGAAGCAGCCACAATCAATGTATCCCTCTCACATCAATGTTTCTCTCTCTTTCTCTTTCTCCCTCCCTTCTACTCTATCTAAAAATCAATGGAAAAATATCCTCGGGTAAGGATTAAAAAAAAAAATTACTAAACACGTAAAAATGCAGGATAATGTGACTTACAACCAGGAGAAAAATTAGTCAACAGAAAAAGACCTGTCAAACTCATCATCAAATTGTATACATTAAATATGTACAGTTTATTACATTTCAATCATACCTTACTAAAGTGGTTTTTAAAAAAGAAAGAAGTAGACCTAGAAATGACATAGATAGGATCAGAAGTTTTTTTTATTTCTTCTTGTTAATTCTCGCCCAAGGATATTATTCCATTGATTTTTTTTTTTTTATATTTTTTCTTCATTGATTTTTCTTTTAGAGAGAGGAAAGGAGAGGGAGAAAGAGACAGAAACATCAATGAGAGAGAACACCGATTGCTGCCTCCTGCACGCCCCCCACTGGGGATCAGGCCCACAACCTGGGCATGTGCCCTGACCGGGAATCGAACCAGTGACCCCTTGGTGCATGGGTCGACGCTCAACCACTGCGCCACAGCAGCCAGGCTATTCCATTGAATTTTTTGGATAGAGTGGGAAGGAAGGAGGGAGGGAAGAAGAGAGGGAGAGAGAAAGAGAGAAAGAGAGAGAGACTGAAGTGAGAGAGACACAGTAATCGGTTGCCCTCTACAAGTACCCTGACTAGGGCTGGGGATCAAACCTGCAACCCAGACACATGCCCTTGACCAGGAATCAAACCTGTGACCCTTTGGTCTTTAGGCAGATACTCTAACCACTGAGCAAAACAGGCCAGGGCAGGATCAGAAGTTTTTTAAATGCCATTGTAAATACATATATTCAAAGAGATCAAGAAAAATATTAATGTAACCAGAAAAACAGGAGGTATAAAAAAAGAAACAAATAGAATTTCTTGAGGAGAAAATTTCTTAAATAATTCACTAAGGAGACTAAGATTAAATTAGACACCAAGGGAAAAAACTTGAAGACAAAGCAATAGAAAGTATTCAAACTGAGCACAGAAAGAAAAATGTGGATAAGAAAATAAGCAGAACTTCAGTGGTCTGTGGGAAAATATTAACTTTACATATAAGTAATTGGAGTCCCACAAAAAGGAGAAAGTAGCAGAAAAAATTATTTGAAGAACTACCTAAAAAATGTCCAATTTTTTTTTTTTTTTTTATCCTCACCTGAGGACATTTTTCCATTTTTTGTTCAGATAGAGCAGGAGGGAGAGAGAGAGAGAGAAACATCAGAGTGAAGGGACACATCGAGTGGCTGCCACCCACACAACCAACCAGGGCTGGGGACAAACTGCACCGAGGTACGTGCCCTTAGCGGGAACCGAACCCGGGTCTCTCTGTACCGCAGGCTGACGCTCCAACCGCTGAGCCAAACCAGCCAGGGCAAAATGTCCAAATTTGATGCAAACTAGAAATCAATAGTTCCAAGAAGCTCAATAAGCTCTAAGTAGAATACACATACAAAATCAACACCAGGACACATCATAATTGTTAAAAATCAAGTTGCTAAAGAAAAATCTTAGAAGCAACAGAACCAAATAAAGCCAGTTACACGAAGAACAAAGAAAAGAATTAACACTAATTTGTTATCAGAATCAATACAAGATGGAAGACAGTGGGGCATCTTTTTTTTAAATGCTGAAAGGAAAAAGCCAACCTACATTTCTATATCCTCCAAAAACATCCTTCCAACACATGGTAAATAAAGACACTCTCAGGGAAACAAATGCTGAGAAGACCACCACCCTCAGCAATGTCACAGGAAGCTCTCCAGGCAGGTGTGAGCCACACCAGATGGAAACCTGCACCCACATAAAAAAAATAAAGGGCACTGAAGATGGGAAATATGTGATGTGACCATAAAACTTTTTCTTTCCCTTTTCTTTTTCTTAATTTTTTCTTCTTCTTAATTGATTTCAATTTCTATTTTAATTTTGTTGCTATCAGAGAACATTCGGAGGGAGAGGATTAGAGAAACATCAATGAGAGAGAACATCCATTGGCCGCCTCCTGCACGCGCCCTACTGGAGATCAAGCCACCTCTTGGTGCATGGGTCAATGCTCAACCACTGAGCCACAACTGCCCAGCTATAAAACTTTTCCTTACATTTTAAAATCTGTTTAAGATAATTAATAGTTTGACCCAAAATAGTAGCCCTAATATGTTGTGAGGCTTATCACTTGCAGAAACAAGAGTGTTGAGAAGAGCACTAAGGACAGGAGTGGGAAAGAACATGTGCAGGTTCTTACGTGAAACATCAGAATCGTCTAAACCCTGTGACGAAAGGGCAGAGACTGTCAGACTAGATGAACAAGTGAGACTCAACTACTTGCTACCTTCAAGAAACCCACTCTAAAGGCAAAAACATACACGTGTTGGAAGTAAGAATGAAAAAGAAAACACGCACCATCAAAAACGCACCATCAGACAGCAGGAGAGGCTGCAGTAACATCAGCGTGAACTTCAAAACAAAGACTATTAAAAGGAATAAAGAAATAAATTCCATAATGATAAAGGAGTCCATTACTTCTTTTCTTTTCTTTTTTTGGTACGTGCCCCTAGTGGGAACCAAACCCAGGACTCTCTGGTCCACAGGCTGATGGTCCAACCACTGAGCCAAACCAGTCAGGGCCCATTACTTCTTATAAAACAATGTACAGGCAAAACCAAATAACAGGGCTTCAAAATACATGAAGCAAAACTGACAGAACACAAAGGAAAAGCAGAGAAACCCATAACTACAGTTGGAGATTTCAACAATCCTCCCAGTGGTTTATAGAACTAAACAGAACATCAACTAGACTGCAGATGCCTTGAACAGCACTATCTTCCTCGCTAACAAATTGAGTGTATAGAAAATACATAGTATCTTCAAGTGCGTGTGGAATGTTCAGCAAGACAGAACATAACCCACAACACTAATCTTAATGGACTGCAGAGGATTTCAATTACAGCATGTTCTCTGATAGCAACAAAATTAAAATAGAAATAGAAATCAGAAAATTACATGGAAAATCCCAAATTACTTGGAAACTGAGAAACCTGCTTATACATAATCTATGGGTCACAGAAAACCCACCAAGGAAATTTTAAATATCATACATGGAATAAATATATATATCAAAAGTTATGGGATATAGCTGAAATTAGAAGAAAACTTACAGCTTTAAATACTTGTTAGAAAAGGAAGATATGAAAACTGATCTAAACTACTTCTACCTTAAAAAGCTAAAAAAAAAAAAAAAGGCAAAGTAAATCCAAGTAAAGTAGTAGGAAAGAAATAATAAAAATAAGAGCGGAAATCAATGCAATAGAAAACAGAGGAGGGGAAATCAATGAAACCGATCAAGACAAAATTAAGACATAAATGACCAATGTCAGGTCTGAAAGAGCGGCCATCTGTACAAGTCCTACGTCAGAAGAATCACGCAATACTATAAACAACCTGATGTCAGTAAATCAAACAACTTACATGAAACAATAAATCTTTGTAGACACATTATCAAAACTGAGTCAAGAAGAAACAGAAAGCTCAAATAGTTCCATAACTTTAAAGAACATGACAACAGCCCGGCCGGTGTGGCTCAGTGGCTGAGCATCGACCCATGCACCAAAAGGTCGCTGGTTCGATTCCCAGCCAGGGCACATGCCCAGGTTTGGGCTTGATCCCCAGTGGGGGGTATGAAGGAGGCCAATTGATGTTCTCTCTCATCGATGTTTCTATCTCTTTCTCCCTTTCCTTTCCTCTCTCTAAAAATTAATAAAGAAAAAAAATTTAAAAAAAAAAAAAAGAACATGACAACAGTATCAAACTGTATACTTAAAATGAGAACATCTTACTCTATGTAAATTATTTCTTAATTAAGTCCATCTCACAGGTCCATGCCCAGGAGTGCACTCATGGGGAACAAAACTGGAAAAAACAAATATGACACATGTGGGTTGTATTGGTCTGGGGCAGAGGAAAGAGGTCATGGTTCCAACAGGTATATCAAGGGCTCCTGCAGCTACTGGTCACTGAGGAGCCCCAGTCACAGGGACATGCCCTCACAGCAGTCCACGGAACTACATGTGTGTTCTGTGTCATTTACTGCTCCCAGTAGAGCTTTGTAACACAAAGGCTGACATCTGTATGTTTTTAAAAGATGAAAGTTTAAATACCAGGTTTAATCATCAAAACTTTTCCCTTTGGTGTCAAGATCTAACTCTTCTGACCTCTCCCCATAACTGTCAGAATCATCTCCACAGAAGCCAGGAACATTTTAGCATCTTCTCTTTAGTCTAAATATCACTCGGAGAAGCAATGCTATAGTACAGGGTAGGAAACTCTGGCAGGAGAAGGCTTTAAATGAAACATCAAGGTCAGGTTAAATGATGTGTATTTAAAAAATGCTATCACAGAATGAACATGTACAAAAATGTTTTATATATGAAAAGATCAACTGATTCACAGGCAGCTCCCAGAGAGGAGCTAAGCCCAACCTGTGGAAATACGGCAGCAATGGAGAGGCGGGCACTCACGCTGAGCAGGGGCTGGGGCGCCGGCGTGACGCTCCTGCACAGAGGCCGCCAGGTGGGGCAGGTGCCCTCCCTGGGCCCAGCACCTAGCACCCTGCTCACTGAGGCTGCTTTGAGGACTAACGACTGACAAGCGAGAAACCTGCAGAACCACAGCCACGCTGGGCACGGTGGCACTGCCTCAAGGGCAGCTGTCAGTGGTGTTTCGATTTAGCAGAAACGAAGGGTGCTCTCTGGGGTGAAAGAAAAGAAAACGGCCGCTCACCCTCCTTTATGCTTCTTTTTCTTAGGAGTGTCTTCTTCTGAGGTCCTTCTGCCTCGCCCCCGGGAACTTCTCTTTTCCTTCTGGCTTCGACCTTCTGAAAGACAATGAAGACCCAATTATTGTCACAGAATTCACTGAAGCAGGATAAGATTTACCCAAATATGATTATTTACTGTCGGGTTCCTAATGCATTTATCAGACAATTCTTCAAAACTCCGTAGTTAAAGGTAACAGGTTGAAGAAAAATGGACAGACTTGCTTTTTAACCCTCGTCCTCCAGAGCTCTCAAAGTCGCTGCCCTCCAGCTTGTCCTTCAGGTCCGCTTCGAAGCGCGCCAGGTCCGCGTCGAGCCTCCGGATGTGTTTATCCACCTGCATGAAGGAGCTTGTACGTTGCATTGAACAGAAAAGCAAACAGCCGGGACTCGGCCCAGCTCCTGCCGACCACCCAGTGCTGCCGGAGCCTCCACCTGAGCCTCCACCTGAGCCTCCACCTGAGCCTTCCGTTAACAAAGCTCTGCTAAGGGGAGGCCGCCGTGGCCAAGGGTGCACGAGGGTCCTTGCTGACACCTCAGCCAGACCAATCCTGCTCAGGAAACACCAGGGGCCGGCAGTACTGAGACACAGAGCTGCGGGATGCAATGGGCCAGGGGTGAGGACATCTGAGACCAAGTCCTAACTTAAAAACCTGAGGACCGTATTGGTTCTTAAACTGAATAACAAAAAAAAAGGAAAACAAAATTTGTCCAGTGCTTTGCCTCAGGATTAGCTGGAAGGGGGAAAAGGCACAGTGGTCAGGGTAGCAGGACGCACTGAGCCTGCTCCCCGAGGAGGAGCCGCCCACCCGGAGTCACAGGCTGCCAGGGGGAGACAGAACCCCCCACATGTGGAAATGAGCTACAATCTTAAATTCACTTTGCATCATAGAAGAAAAATATGACTCAATGACAACTGATCAAAGCCAATATTTCAGAAAATAGGTTGCTTACTCCAAAGATACAACAGTTGGGGCATCAAAACCCCAAATATAAGCATTAAGGTCTCCTGCTACACTGTCTAGAGCATTCTTTCTTGAATACAAGTTACTTCAGGTTTTTAAGAAATCACTGTCGTTTGACTGGGGAGGTGGGGAAGGGCATTCGTCAGGTGACAGCCTGTGGGGACAATAGAGATCTGCCACACAACATGTGCCTCACGGGACAACTCGGGGCACCGTGTGAGCTGAGTGGAGCTTACTTGAGAAGAAAGAGGACATATTCTAGGACTTTTCCTAAAGCTGACCAAAGGGAAAAAAAAAAATTTAAAAAAATGTATCTATAGCCTGGCTGGTATGGCACAGTGGTTGAGCAACAACCCATGCACCAAGAGGTCACCGGTTCAATTCCCGGTCAGGGCACGGTTGTGGGCTCGATCCCCAGTGGGGGGCATGCAGGAGGCAGTCAATCGATGTTCTCTCTTTGATGTTTCTCTCTCTCTCTCCCTTCCTCTGTCTCTCTTTTTTTTTTATTATTGATTTTAGAGAGAGAAGAAGTGAGAGGGAGGGAGAGAGAGAAACATCAATGAGACAGAACATCAACTGGCCACCTCCTGCATGCCCCCCACTGGGTATGGGACCCACAACCTGGGTATGTTCCCTGACAGGGAATCAAACCAGTGACCTCTTGGTTTAGGAGTCGACGCTCAACCACTGAGACATATCGGCCGGACTAAAAAAAAGTTATATATAAAAATGGATGTTTTCCCCAGCCAAGTAAATAAGAAAAGGGGCAGAGAAAACAAGATGCAGTCATGGTCTGGGGTGAATGACAAGCCCCGTTTTTCTCTTCTGGAAGTACCACTCTGCCAGAGCCTGAGCCGTCCCCAGACCCCAACCGCCCCTCACCACCTCCCAGGTCTGCACGGCCAGCTGCACCAGGCCTCCGGGTCCTTGACCAGCACCCCCACCCCCACTTCTCCTGGCCCCTCACCACCTCCCAGGTCTGCACAACCAGCTGCACCAGGCCTCCGGGTCCTTGACCAGCACCCCCACCCCCACTTCTCCTGGCCCCTCACCACCTCCCAGGTCTGCACGGCCAGCTGCACCAGGCCTCCGGGTCCTTGACCAGCACCCCCACCCCCACTTCTCCTGGCCCCTCACCACCTCCTAGGTCTGCACGGCCAGCTGCACCAGGCCTCCGGGTCCTTGACCAGCACCCCCACCCCCACTTCTCCTGGCCCCTCACCACCTCCTAGGTCTGCACGGCCAGCTGCACCAGGCCTCCGGGTCCTTGACCAGCTCCCCCCACCCCCACTTCTCCTGGCCCCTCACCATCTCGTAGGTCTGCATGGCCAGCTGCACCTTGTCATCACTGTACTCCTTGCACTTGCTGTAGGCACTCTGGATCTTCTGCAGGTGTTCCACCCGCTGCTCTGCGGACAGAGTCTTCACTGTGGAGATGTACTCTGCAGCCAGAATGTCTATCTCTGCTTTCTTGTCTGTCAGAGAAATGGTTGAAAACTAGTCCTTGCACAAGATGCCATAACACACTCACCAGACTGGCAACAAATGAAGCCAGACAACACCAAGTGTTGTCTGCACACCCTGAAGCACTGTGGGTGGACATGGTGGGCACAGCCCACGCAGGCAGTGTGTCCGTGGAGAGCATGGCATCACAGAGCTAGACAGACACTCTGGCCAGGGCAAGGTGCCCAGGACAGTCCTGTGTACACCTGCTGTCCTGAGAGCATGCATCGTGCCCTCTCTGATTCTCCAGTCCGAACAATGAAGTGTGTGCTCACCTCCCCTACAGCCTGGCATACTACTCTTAGGTGCCCGCCCTAAAGATTTAGACTCCAGAATACACATGAGAAAACATCCATTAACTGCAGGAAACAAGAAACAACCCAAATGTCCAGGCCTCGCTCGAACAGACAAATGAACTGTGCTCAGCAACAAGATGACCCATCTGCTGCTACACAGAACAGCACCAATCAGTCCACAAAAGGTGACTGAGGGCAAGAAGAGGGACACACGAAGGACACCGTGAGGCTCGTCAATGTCCAGGTTGGACAGACACAACACTTAACTCCAGTTGGGAGGTGAGAAATGCCTGTTGCAGGTGGGACTAAGGGTGGTGGCCCCAAGGGAGGGTCACGCAGGCCCCAGGGGCCAGAATCTCCACCTCACCTGGGGACAGTTTCACCGGGTGACATGTTATAAATGATTATGCTTACTTCTGAAGGTAAATCTGCATTTCCTAACAAAAGAAGTTTCTGTACGTGCTAGTCAGGATGCTGTCCCTTTGTCAAAAACCACAGCTATTCCAATAAAGAAAGCTGAATTAAAATATGAAAATCACCCACACCCAAGCTCATCATCACAAAATATAAAACCTCAGGGCTAAGGACAAGACTCCTAACCAGGACAAGAGAGAAGATGGCATGTACAAAGGACAAGGGAGCCACATGGCCTCAGATTTCTCAACAGCAACACGGAGGCCAGGAGCCAGTCAGCAATGCCTGCCACATCCTGGGGGGATGCCCGTCAACCTGGAATGCTACATCCAAACCACTGACCGGCTATCAGGCCAGAACAAACACTTTCAGACGTGCAATGTGAGAAGAAATTTACCTTCCCAAGTACCCTTTTAGGAGGCTGCCAAAGGGAAGCTCCTCTGACACAAGGGGGACAAATCAAAAAGTAAGATGTTTACGTCCAGGAAACCGGGTCCCAACGGAAGAGGAGCAAAGGGAGAGCCCAGGAAAACCCAGCACCTGCCTGTGCAGCAGGCAGGAGACCACGGGCCCAGACAGATTGCAGGGCAGAAGCACCTGGAGAGAGCTCCATGCAGAGCAGACAGAGCCCGCAGGGGGCCCAGTGCAGCAGACACACGGAAAATGCAGAATGTGGGAAATAGCCAACGAGCAAAGCAACTGGGAACGCCAAGAAAGTTATTCAGAAAGGGTCATGTGAACACAGTATGTGGTGTGGCTCAGTTGCACACTACCTATGGAAACTCTGTCACTGGTCCACCACAATTCCAATTCCAGTCCACTACACCCAGGAGATGGGGAGGGGCGGGGGGAGAGGAGTGTATGAGCTGGATGGGGTGCAACTGGAGAAGTAAAGCTTCATAATAACTGAATAAAGTCTAAAGCCAAAGGGGAATAAAATAAAAAATAACAGCAAAATGTGATGCTTATAAATAGGGGGTTAAATATGAACAGGTCAAAAAGTACTATCCAACTTTTTAAACTAGGCACACAAAGTTTGAAATTAGTAAGTCTTCTAAGAGAAAGAAAAGGTAAAAAATATTTTGACAGTATGGACAGGACAATGCTTATAGATGTGACTTGAAAAGGTGTAAGAATCCAAGGAAATGAATTTGGTTCAAGTATCAGCACTCTCTTAAGATACCATCTGAAGCCACAGCCTAGGTTTAGGCTGCGGCCCCCTGCACTGAGTCCCCTGGTCACCCAGTGCCACCCCAGGGTCCTGGTGCCTCCTCTCCCCGGTTGCACTGAAGGCCTGAGCCCACCTTCTGTCCTCTGGTCCAGCTCTCGCATCAGCTGGAAGTTCCTCTGAAGTTCACAAGGAAGGTTCTCGATACCTGAAACAAGGGACATGGACTTCTCAGTAGGAGCACATAAATCTGCCTGCTGGGCTTTTCTTTTTTTTAAATCTTCACCCGAGGATATTTTTCCATTTACCTTCAGATAGTGTGTGTGTGTGTGGGGGGGGGTGATGACACCGATGTGAAAGAGACACATCAACTGGCTGCCTCCCACACAACCTGACCAAGGCGGGGGACCAGACCGAACCGCAAATGAGGTACATGTCCTTGACCGGAATCGACCCTGAGAGGAATCACACCTGAGACTCTTGGGTCCATGGGCCGACGCTCTAACCCCTGAGCCAAACCAGTCAGGGATGCCTGCTGGGCTTTAAACCTGAAGTGGACAGATAACAAGTCCACTCTGTCTTCTCTATCTGTTAGGGTTTGGCGAGGACAGGGACGTGTGAGTACCAAACACTGATAAGCTGACACACTTCAGAAGTTGCCAGAAGCTAGAGAACTTAGAAGCAAGCTGCGAGCAGAAGCAGAAAAGATGGCCCTGTGACCTTCCCACCCAGACCCTCCTGTCCAGATTACCCGCTACAGCCACCCAGTCCAAACCCTGGGGTCCTCTTTTATGCTTCCCCACCTCCACTGAAGTCCAATGCATGGGGAGAGCAAACCAGCACTGCCGGTAGAACTTGATGCAAGGATGAAAGGCTTCTCTAAGCTACCCAAAAGTGTGGGCATTGGCCACATGGGGCTACAGAGCATGTGAAATGGGCTAGTACTACTGAAGACCTGAGCTGCTCATTTCATTCACGTTTAATTCATTTAAAGTTAAACAGGCCAGCCCTGGCCAATGTGACTCAGCGGTTAGAGTGTCAGCCCTCGGACCAAAGAGTCCTGGGTTCAATTCCAGCCAAGGACATGCACCTCGGCTGCGGTTCGTCCCCGGCCCTGGTTGGGAAGCAACCAATCGATGTGTCTCACATTGATGTTTCTCTCTCTCTCCCCTTCTTCCTCTCTATTTGAAGAAAAATGAGAAAATATCCTCGAGTGAAGATTAAAAAAATAAGATAAAGTTAAAAAGGCCATGCTGGACCTCACAGGTGGAGGGTCCCCTGCCAAACTGCTAACCTATTTGCACTGCCATTCTCCTGGCCCAGGCCAATGTCCCCACACTCCTGCACGGCCACACAGGTTTGACTGGGCTCCTGCGTCCCGTCTTGGCCCCTCTCCACTCTCCCCATATGCCAGTGATCATTTCGAGAACTCAGTCTAATCCTTCAAAGTCGCTGCTTAAAGCCCCAGTGCTCCTCAGCTTCCCAGAGAGCCACGAAAACTCCCCTACAGCCTCTGGCCTCACCATGCCCTCCCCAGACCTCCCCAGCTGTCCTACTACCCAGGGCTCTGCATGACGGGACCACCCCCTGCTCTCAAAACCTGCTGGCTCCTTCATGGCTCTTAATCTTCTATAAACTTAAAAAAAATCCGTCTGCCCCTGGGATAGTAAGTTCCTGGAGGAAAGGAGGAAGCAGGTGCCTCCTTTCCCAGCCTTCACCGTCAACTCCTCAGAGCCTCTCCAGGGCCCACAGGGCAAGTGCGGGGACAAAGAAGACAAGCCCCAGTGCTCCCAAGCAGACACCTGGGTGCAGCCTCTCTAGTGACAGTGAGGGGGGAGCTCCCCTCCCCGTGCTCTCCCACCGGACCAGTGCTCAGGATGAGCCGGGAGAGCAGAACACATGGCCAGGACTGGGAGACCCCCTTGGGAAGAGATGATCCCCGCTGTCCCCCCACCAGGGCAGGGGCTCACTCCCTATTCAGCAGGCTCAGGTGAGGCACCCAGGCCGGAGTGGCTATGAACATCCCCAGTGCAGTGCTGTGTTCCTTGCCCCAGCCAGAGCCAGACAGACCCAAAATGTACGTGACCTTGACAAGCAACTCGGCCTCCGTGGTAAATAACCATCCGCTCAGGAGTGGTCAGGAGGGTCCACCCTGAGTTACAGGTGGACAGAAAGATACCTGCTGGAGGAGCCGCACGGACGTCGCCCCTGAAGAGCTTAGTATGTCCCAGAAGTACCCCCGTGAAAACGCAGGCACCCTGGGAGACCCTCTGCATCAACATCGCCTCCCCATCTTCCAGATGCACAAGCTGAGGCTCAGCGACCAGAAGCGACTCCGTGGTCCCCAGGCCCCGCCCAGCATCCAAAGTGGTTGGGACTCACCACCTACTTGGGGCTGAGTGGCGGGGGGCAGGCCGAAGCCAAGTAAGGGCTGGACCTGGGACCACACTGGGAGGGGCGGGGCAGAGCCGGAGGCACCAGAGGGCGGGACCTAGTCGAAGAGGGCGGGGCTCTTTGGGCGGGGCCTGGTTGCTGGGGGCGGGGCCTATCAGACGAGAGCCGGGCCCAGCCAAGAGGCGGAACCGCGCGCCGGCCCCGCCCCTCCGTGACGCACCTAGAATTGGCGCGGCCCAGTCGGCGGACCCAGCGCCGCACCCCCCCGCGCGCGCACCCCACCCTCATACCCGCCCCGCCTCGCGTGCGCCCCCGCCGCCCCCGGGCCGTCCCTCAGCCCCCAGCGGCCCCGGGGCCCGCGCGCGGCTCTTGGCGTGCAGGGTGCAGTGTCGCAGAGGGCCCCGCGCGAGCGGCGGCCGGGGTCACGGGGGCGCTTACTGTCCAGGTAGTGCTCCAAGTACATGGCGGTCGCCATCTTCGTCCGCGGCCGCGCTCTGGGTCTGCGCGGGCGGGCGGAGCCGCGAGAGGTAGAGGGCGGGGCCGGCGCGCTCACTATTAATGAGCCGCGCATGCGGATTGGCCAGCGGGCGGGGGCGCCAACGGCGGGGACCGCCCCCTGGCTTCCGGTCGGCGGGGTGCGTGCGCGGTCTCAGGGGCCGCGAGGTGGGGGCCGGGGCATTCCCTCTAGCGGCGTTGAGGGGTGGCTGCGGGGCGGGGGGCTGGTCCTTATCCCCGGGCACCCTCTCTGCGTGCGCGGTGCCGGTGCCGACGCCTGGCCGGGGCAGGTCTGGCGCAGAGCAGGTGCACGCGAGCAGCGACGAACGTGGTCCGGCGGACAAGGGGGTCAGAGGCGCGCAGCAAAACGGGGGGTCACGGGGGTCAGCACGTGTCAAGTGGGTCAGGGAAATGCCCGGCCCGGCGCCCGTTGGGGTAGGGGCTCTGCGCGACCCCCGCCCCGCCTGCCCAGCAGGGCGGGGAACCGCTGCTCCCCAAATAAGAGGAGTCTCGGCCCGGAGCCGCACCCTCTCCTCCTCCTCCCCTGGGATTCAGGTGGTAGGTCTACAAGTACCGCACCCCACCAACCAGCAGTAGTTTCCTTACTGAAATTGCTGTTCAATGGACCGCTCACCTGGTGGAGTGGCTCACGGGTCCCAGGCACCAAGAGGTCGCAGGTTTGATTCTGGTCGGGGCACGTGGCCGGGTTGCTGGCCGGGTCCCAGGTAGGGGGCGTCCAGGAGGCAGCAGATCCATGTTTCTCATCAATGCTTCTACCTCCCTTCCCCCTTCTTCTCTCTAAAACCAGTTTTAAAAGACGTATCTCAGCCCTGGCCGGTTTGGCTCAGCAGTTAGAGCGTCGGCCCGCGGACCGGAGAGTCCTGGGTTCGGTTCCGCTAAGGGCATGCACCCCGGTTGCAGTTTGTCCCCAGCCCTGGTTGGGGTTGTGTGGGTGGCAGCCACTCGATGTGTCTCTCTTACATCGATGTTTCTCTCTCTCCCCCTACCACTCTATCTGAAGATAAATGGAAAAAAAAAAAATTTCCTCAGTGAGGATAAAAAAATAAATAAAAGATGTATCTCCCTTCCTGAACTCTTCCCTAAGTGAATGAGAAGGGGCCTCAGGTAACCTGACTAGCTTAGGGAAGGCCTGCATGGTGGCCTTATAAAGACAGAGACCTAAAATAACCACAAAGGATGGAAAACACCAAACAAAACTTTTTAATTATAAGCAGTTTATAGTGAGTAGTCATGTCCTAGGGTCAAATCTTCCCTGACAAAGGTCAATTTTCACCTTAATTAAGCCCGTCTATTGTGATACTTTGGAATGTCAAAGTAATTTCCTTTTTTCAGACTCAAAGCACAGGTACAGTAACAGCAAAGGCCACAAATCCTCTCATTGTTATTGAGTTCATTGTTGGCTATTAACTATCCTGCACCCACCTATGTAGAAAATGTGTATGTCTATCATTTTACTTTTTATCCAGTCCCAGAGGTTTCCCCTGCTATGCTTTCTCCTGCCTCCCTAATCTATTGCCAATGGATTTCATGTACTGTAATTCACTGGTGCCGTCTCTTCTTACTGTAATGTATAAGATAAGGTGCAAAACTGCCCTTCTCTGGAGCATTTTCTCAATCTGTTGGATTTTGCTTCCTGGCAACTGTAGACAGTTTGGTTCAAATCAAACTCACAAAAATTCTCTACAGGTTTGAGTGTTTCTTATGTTGACACCTAAATCCCAGATTTTAGAAAGTGGAAATGTTTTTGCCAGTTTTCTGTTATAAAAATTCAGACTATCCAGAAACTTAGGAAGGAATTCCCCCACCTCTGGAAGGTATAGGACTGTGATTATCTTGTTCACCTTTGAATCCAAATGGTAGGTTTTGGTACATTCTTTCTGGCCCCATTTAATGCTTGATAAGAAGACACCCACACACATGCATACATAACTAAATACTACCCATATTTTTTATTGTCTTAACTGACTAATTTTTTTCTCTTCCTTTTTTTAAAACTTTTCTTTATTGGTGGAAGTATTATAGATGTCCCCCTGTTTTTCCCCTATTGACCCCCTCCTCCCTGCTCCCACCCACCTCCTGCTTTCCACAACCTAATGTCTGTGTCTATTGGTTGTGCATATATGCATATAAGTTCTTTGGTTTTTCTCTTCCCAACCCCCTACCCTCCATCCCTCTGAAGTTTGTCAGTCTGTTCCCTACTTCCATGACTCTAGATCTATTTTGATCAACAGCTTATTTTGTTCGTAATGTTCCACAAATAAGTGAGATCATGTGGTGCTTGTCTTTCTCTGACTGGCTTATTTCACTCAGCATAATACTCTCCAGGTCCCTTTGTGTCGTTTCAACGGGTAAGAGATTTCTCTTACAGCTGTATAGTACTCCATTATGTAAATGTACCACAGCTTTTTTATCCATTCATCTACTGATGGACACTTGGGTTGTTTCTAGATCTTAGATACTGTAAATAGTGTTGCTATGAACATAGGGGTTCATATATTTTTTCTAATTGATGTTTCAGGCTTCTTAGATATATTCCTAGGATCACTGGGTCAAATGCAGTTCTATTTTTAATTTCTTCGGGAAGCACCATACTGTTTTCCATAGTGGCTGCACCAGTCTGCATTCCCACCACCAGTCTGCATTCCCACCAGCAGTCTGCTAGAGTATCCTTTTCTCCAAATTCTGGCCAGCACTTGTTTGAGGATTTATTGATGGTGGCCATTCTGGCAGGTATGAGGTAATATCTCATAGTCATTTTAATTTGCAGCTCTCTGATGATTAGTGAAGTTGAGCAGTTTTTCATTTTTTCTCCTGGCCATATGTCCTATTTGGAGAAGTGTCTATTCATTCTCCAAGGTCCCTCCTTCCCTTTGATGCCTAGCAACCAATTTGTACTTCTTAATCCCTTCACCTTTTTCACCCAATACCCCAACCCTCCTCCCCTCTGGCAACCAACAAAAAGTTCTCTGTATCTATGAGTCTGTTTCTGTTCTGCTTTTCATTTTGTTTGTAGATTCAGTTGTTGATGGATATGTATTGCCATTTTATTGTTAATATTTTTTATTTTCTTCAAGAAGACCCTTCAACATTTCATATAATACTGGTTTTGTGGTGATGAACTCCTTTAACTTTTTCTTGTCTGGGAAACTCTTGATGTGTGCATCGATTCTAAATGATAAGCTTTGCAGGATAAAGTAATCTTGGTTATAGATTGTTTTTCATCACTTTGAATATTTCTTTTTATTATTATTATTGTTTTAAATCTTTATTGTTGGATGTAAAATGTATTACAGATGTTCCACATTTTTCCCCCATTGACCCCCTCCTTCCCACTCCCACCCCCCCCCCCACCTTTTCCCACACTATTGTCTGTGTCCATTGGTTATGCATATAAGTTCTTTGGTTTATTTCTTCCCACCCACCAACCCCTTTCCCTTTGAGGTTTGTCAGTCTAGCAATGAATTTGTACTTCTTAATCCCTTCACCTTTTTCACCCATTCCCCCAGCCCCCCTCCCATCTGGCAACCAACAAAATGTTCTCTGTATCTATGAGAATGTTTCTCTTCTACCTGTTCATCTTGTTTGTAGATTCCATTGTTAATAGATATGTATTCATTTGCATTTTGTTTGTTCATATATTTTATCTTTTTCTTCAAAAAGACCCTTCATCATTTCATATAATAACGGTTTGGCGGTGATGAACTCCTTTAACTTTTTCTTGTCTGGGAAAGTTTTTATATGGCCATCGATTCTAAATGACAGCTTTGCAGGATAGAGTAATTTTGGTTGTAGGTTCTTGGTTTTCATTACTCTGAATATTTCTTGCCACTCCCTTCTGGCCTGCAAAGTTTCTTTTGAGAAATCAGCTGACAGCCTAATGGGAACTCCCTTGTAGGTAACTAGCTGCCTTTCTCTTGCTGCTTTTAAGATTCTCTCTTTGTCTTGAACCTTTTGCATTTTGATGCTGATGTGTCTTGGTGTGGGCCTCTTGGGGTTCATCTTGTTTGGGACTCTCTGTGCTTCCTGGACTTGTATGTCTGTTTCCTTCACCAAGTTAGGAAAGTTTTCTGCCATTATTGTTTCAAACAGGTTTTCGATTTCTTGTTCTCGCTCTTCTCCTTCTGGCACCCCCAAGATGCGAATGTTGGCACGCTTGAAGTTGTCCCAGAGGCTCCTTACACTATCCTCATTTTTTTTGGATTCTTTTTTCTTTTTGCTGTTCTGATTGGGCATTTTTTGCTTCCTTATAGTCCATATCGATGGTTTGCTCCTTGGATTTACCTACTCTATTATTGAAGCTGTGTAAATTATTCTTTATTTCAGTTAATGCCTCCTTCAATTCTAACTGTATCCATGATTTCTGACTGGTCCTTTTTTATGCTCTTGAGGCCCTCCCTAAGTTCACTGAGGTTCTCACTAAGTTCACTGAGCATCCTTATAAGCAGTATTTTGAACTCAGTATCTGTTAGGTTGCTTATCTCCATTTCGCTTAGTTCTTTTATTGGGGTTTTCTGTTCTTTCATTTGGGACCTGTTTCTTTGTCTCCTCATTTTGGCTGCCTCCCTGTGTTTGTTTCAGTGTATTACTTAATGAGAGGTATGGGGCTCGCTGAGACCAGATGCTGCTCGTTTGAAAGAATTTAGGAAAAACCTGAAGCAGGATCCAAGACAGGCCAATCCTATGGTTAAGAAAGTGGCAACAGCTTGGGTGGGCTTGAAAGTTGGGTGGGGTGGGCTTGAAAGTTGAGTTGGGTTGGGTGGGGTGGGGCCTCAGGGAGTCACCAGGGTGGGGCTACCAGTGTGAGCCAGGTTGCTGGAGTCCCAGATATGGCGACTGTCTGCCGCCCCAGGGAAGGGCTCACCAAAGGAACAAAGGCCTCTTACAGCATGTTTGTCCCCGAGAAAGCCCCCTCTCCAGCCCTCACTCCAGTGCCAAACAGCTCAGTTCTTCCCTGTGTGTCCCTGGCGCCCCTCAAGCTGC